GAAGCTGAAGAATGAGCTAGCAGGGTAAGACACAATTATGCTTATGGCACAGCTCTTCATGTCTGTGTCTGGATTGTTGCACAATTACTTTGCACTGATTAGAGCAAATAGACTTGCAGTTGTTCATTTTCTATCTGATTTTTCTTGTGCTAGATGTGTCTAGTATTGTATTTTTTTTTTAAATATTTTACAGAGGGCACATTTTAGAAAAGTTGCAAGTTTATTTTTACCAAATCTGATCCTTACTGCATAGTTGTAAGCTGATGTTCTTAATGCCTGCTTTGTTGTGTGGCACACAAAGCCTACAGTGTTTTTTCTTTTGCACATGCAGTATATGCTGCTACATGGTCAGTGGGTTTTTTTATGGTTTTTTTTTTTTCAAGCTTAAAAATTGTTCACAGAGCAAACAATTAAAATTCTGTGCTCTGATTGTATTTGGACTGAAATCGTTTAATATTTCAATACACATGTTCTATTTGTTGCATTAGAAAAAGGTACTGTAGTAAAGTAATATCTGCAGAAAAAAACATTAATCACTGTTATTTTGGATTTTCATCTGGTCTTTTACACAGAGCATCATTGTTAACGCATTTGTTGGTTTGTTGTGTGTTTCAATAAAATAAATTAAAAGTGCTGCATTGTGTGGTCATTGACAAAATAATTTCATTGGGATTTTCTTATTCCAAATATTTTAATTTGTATTTTAATAAGACTAGGATTTTAAGTGTATTTGACTTATTATATTAAGTTCTGACTATTGTACTTTTAAGTAGCCTCCAATTTTCTTTTCTATTGCTGATTACTTAAAACATTTAAGTGTATATAACAATTTTTTTTTAATTCTGACCATTGTACATTTAAGTTGACTATACTTGAAGAAATTAATTTTTCTACTGTCAATAACTTAAACCATTTGAGGCAATCACTTGACGAAAATGGTTTAAGTACAACCAACTTACAGTGTAATGAATTAGAATAAATAGCCTAGTAGATATAAAGTTTTAAGGAGTTGAATGTAGAACCTACTGTCTTATTTATGAGGAATCAGGAAGACTCATTTGAGTACTGATTCTGAACAAGCCAAATATGTGTTAAACATCTATGTTGGCTGAGCCCCCCTTAAATGAAAATCCTAGAAACGCCCCTGACTTAAAGTATTCCAACAGGTAGACTACCTCTGTTCCAGCAACATAACGTAAGCATGGATCAGAATTTGTCCATCTGAGGTTAAAGATGCCGAAATGTGCCAAGAAATGAGTATGTAAAACCGACCCCCCTTTCCCCAAACAGTTTTTGTATTTTATTTGTGAGAAAGCGAACTTTAAAACTAAGAAACTTGGTTATTTCCAAGCTAATATAGCAAGGAAATGTTACATCTGCTGTTGAATATACGAAATGAATTAGTAACGGATCGCTGTGATTCCCCGAAGGTTCGCCGAGTGTATTAGCAGGGCATCCTCTTGTTGTTTGTGTGTTAAGTGTTCCAAAATCACTACAAAGGGTTAAGTATCATAAACATTCCGTTTCATTAAAAGATTTACAAGTTTTTACGTATGATGTAACAGGGGTGTATAGCACAGCCCTCATTCTCCGCCAATGAAAAGCCCGCTAAGGTTTCTGACCTGTTCATATAAACTGCTACTCCGGCAAGAAATTCCAGTCAATTTGACTAAATACATGTTATAATAATATTCTTTACGTAGCTACACGGTGGAATTTTGTCGATATTTCGCAGCACCCTATTTTTTTTTTGCTGTTGCTGTAGGTAAGTTAATTGATTGAAATGTAATTAAATTATTATTCTAAATATATAATGTTATATATAATGTTATAGTAAGTGATAGTAAGTTATCGAAAGATTAATGCTTTAATAAAAACATTTTCAATGTATTTGTATTGTTTGAATTTAATTGTAACCATACAATTTACGCTGCTGATAAAGGTTTAAAAAGCTAAAAGTTAGTACTTAGTGCAAAATTAATGGGCGTCAAAATACTTTTATATTTTAATAAATAAACAAATTGAAATCGAGAACTGATATATGCAAACATTTGTAAAACGCGAAAAAGTCTTTAACTGAAAAGGTTATACAGTACATGTTACAAGTTAAAACTGCAATCATGCGATGACTGTATTGCCGCAGCTTCCAAAACCACTTTGTGTCCGGCGGGCTGGTTGCTACGTTTAATTAGAGTTCCGCCACACACAATAGCAGATATGTAATAATATAATCAGAATATTAGAACGCACGTTTCAGAAATGAGACAACGAATTTCCCCCTATTCCATTTTTTCAGTTTTCTCTTTATTTTTAGCTGAAACATGGAGAGCAAATCTTACATGGTTCATATGAACGGGAATGGGGTTCACACCCAAGATGATGTTCACATTATTAACATGAATGGCAACGTTCGTTCGGACAAGATGAAGATCCGCAAAAAGAGGTGGAACATTAGAGCCTCGGAGATGTCCAAGAACACACTGAATCCCATCCGTGCCATTGTGGATGGCATGAAGATCACTCCCAATCCTGAGAAGCCAATGATTGCCCTCTCTATTGGTGCGTGCTAACGTCAAACCATTGATCTAATTAGTTTTCCTCCATCCTCAATGTCATAGATTTTCCAAATGTTCTCTCTGTCTCCTGTGTGTGTGTACTTCTGAAGGAGATCCTACTGTATTCGGGAACTTGCCTACAGATGACAAGGTTCTTCAGGCCATGAAAGATGCCATTGACTCACACAAGTACAACGGTTATGCTCCCTCTGTAGGTAAGAGTCAAAAGAAATACAATCTCCACACGTTGTGTTGATGAGATCTGAGGGACAGTAACCTAATAACTGGGGGACAAATATGGGATCTGGGCAGGCAGATAAGATTTAAGACAGGAGGCAGAAGGCAGAAGCTGAATCAAAAGTAGCCAGAATGCTGGAGAGTGATACACAGCTTCTGATCTCTTATGTAACTTCAGGACTGTTGCCCAGAATCAGCTTCCGAATGTAGGACTGATAGGTATCTTTTCCCCGTTTTGAACAGGTTATCAGAAAAGCAGGGAAGTGGTAGCAAGCTTCTACAGCTGCCCTGAGGCTCCCCTTGAAGCCAAGGTCAGTCGCATCACCTTCCCATTTCCCATCATGCAACTTTATCAACTTTCACAATCAGCTCCCATTCAGAACATGCTTATCGTTAGCATGTCCAGCATCTCACAGCCTGGTGTTGTACTTAATCCTGCTTTTCTGGTGGGCTTCTTGCACACTGAAGTTAATCACTTCCTCATGCGGCATTTGAGGTCACGTACATCCCGTTTTTTTCCCTTTCCCCGTGTATGATTCGTACTCTGTGTTTCTTCGCCAGGATGTCATTCTAACCAGTGGCTGCAGTCAGGCCATTGAGCTGGCTATCAATGTGTTGTGCAACCCAGGGCAGAACATCCTCGTTCCCTGTCCTGGCTTTTCCCTTTACAAAACACTTGCGGTCTCCCTTGGCATCGATGTCAAGCACTACAATCTTCTGGTAAGTTCTGGAATGGAGAACATATACATGATTTTAGGTGCTCGTAAACTGACTGATATGTGCTGTAGATAGACTGATGGTAGATGGTCAAGATATGAAGGGATGTGAAATAAGTTTGAGGCTGCAGATGAGGAAATGGAAGGAGAAAGACAGCAAAGTATGGGGATGGACAAGAGTAGCTCTAGGGTGATGGAGCGAGGGGGAGTGGAAAGAGGAGGTTGTGGAGGTGATTGGGTGAAAAATCTCCTCCCCACTTCTGCCTGCAGAAATGATGCACATCTGGCATTAATTAACTGTTAGAATAGAGGTTCCTCTGCTCCCCATATTTTGCCTGTTGTCACACCCCCTGCCACAGCCAATCAGAAGCTGAGGCCTCCAGCAAAAATGGGTGGGGACAAAAGCTACAGTACAATGAGTGACAGGGAAAGTGTGCAATGTGTACAAGAGAAAATCTAGTAAGATTTCATTTTTTCAGGCGTGACCGTTGTTACAAAACACTTTTTTGTTTAAGTATTTTTACATTTTGATGGCGTCATCTACTCGTACACTCGTGGCATTTCCTGTTATGCTACCTATGATCTTAGGTAGTATGTGAGATTGTAGCTTCACTCTCTAATCCCCTTGCACACAGGCATCTTTAAATAAATGCCATCTTGTAATGGAGACACAATTTAACCATAAATTTAATGGTGGTTCTTTACAAAGCAGTGGCGTAGACAGAAATTGTATTTTGGGCGGGCCATTGAAAAAGTGAGCGGGCCTATATTTTTTCCTAGAAAAAATATTACTTAAATAATAATTAAACCTTAGAGAGTAGAAAAAATAATAGACAAACAAACTGCAAAAACACACCTTTATTTTGCAATATTCGGCAAAGGCAATAACAAAACACCGTCTAACCATCATGTTCAACAGTGCTCAATAAAGGCTGGACAAACCACCAGCATAGACATAGTCTATATATTTTTTAATACATTTGAATAATAAAAATAAACTAAAAATGTATTTTGATCAAACTTGCCTGGGTGGGCCAGGGAGTAATGTGGGCGGGCCAGGGAGTAATGTGGGCGGGCCAGTGCCGCCCTGGCCCATTACTGGCTACGCGCCTGTTACAAAGTATAGTGAACGTCATGTCAAAATCATTTTTTAATCTTTTAGCAGAAAGAAAAGATGACTTCCTTGGCATGTTTGTACTATTATTGAACAAAAATGACTGTAACTCTCATCTTTCAGCACCTTAAATTGTTTAGTAGCAGCTTTCAGAGTTGATCACCGAGCAGAGCCACCAACAACAGTATAATTTAATAATGACTTGCGACATTAACAAGGTTTATTATGTGGTGAGTTTTGATGGATGTTGCCTGTCTTTTCAGCCGGAGAGGTCCTGGGAGATCGATTTACGGCACCTGGAGAGACTCATCGATGAGAAGACCGCCTGCATAATCGTCAACAACCCCTCGAATCCTTGTGGCTCTGTTTACAGCAAGGAACACTTGCAAGACGTCCTCGCAGGTGATTTGTCTGGGACGCACAACGTACACGTGCAACGTTTTCGCGCCCTCTGCTTTTGCTCTGATTCGCCCTTTTGTCTTCCCTCCCAGTTGCCTCCAGAAACTGCATTCCCATCCTGGCTGATGAAATCTATGGGGACATGGTGAGTCTAGCTTACCATTCTCATGTGAGGAAACTTCAAGGATGCATCTCCTTCAGAGTAGGGTGTTTGTAGTGATGGTGGGTGTTGATTTTTGGGTTTGGTGTATGGATTTGGTTGCTGGGTTAGGATCAGGGAGATTTGTGGAAGGATACTCAGCACTTGGTGAAAGACAGGGTGAGGCCCTGGTTGTCACAAAGCACCAGTTTAGCACATTCCTTGTGTCAAAAAAATCAAAACCGCTGTCCCTGACCTGGCTCTGTCCAGTATACAAGTGGAATTTCGCCCAGTTTGGGTGTGGAGGCAGGTGGTGAATGTGACTGGTTTGGTAAATCCAGGAGGAACACTGTTTTTCTCAGAGCAGGTTCTACCAGAGACCAAAAGGAACTTGAGAATGACTTTGTATTTTTTTTGTAGGCGTGTGACATTAGGATGTTTTTGTGTTGTGTGTTAGCTGCCAACCTTGAAACTCCCCTTTCATGAGGTTCTTATTAATTATCCCAGCTGGTAGCTTGCATTGGGCAGTTACCCCATCTGTCAGTCAGTCTGCTCCAGCCAATCACACTGTCAGGGATGTCCCACCATCCCGCCCCCTGCTCTACACCCCTCGCCACATACCATCAACACTGTTGCCATAGTCGCTTTGTATTTTTATTGTTACTGTCTCTCCCTCTAAAATTCCTACCTCCTACCCTGTCTTACAATTGTACTCGGAAATACAAAAGTTTGCTATTTTTAGATCGTACAATAAAAAAAAAATCTATAACAAATCTAAAATTGGCTGTCCCCAGTGTTCCTCTGTCCATAAGGAGATCAAATCTTTGCAGCATGTTCATTTAGTATCTAACGTGGTATCTGATTCAGCTGCTTCCGTACTGTGTTGTGGTGTGTGGTGAACTGCACTGTTTGGTGTATTGCAGTGCTTTCCACTCCAGTGCTCGGCGACCCCCAGACCGTCCACGTTTTTGCTGTATCGGGAGCTGGGAGGGAGCAAAAATGTGGACTGTCTGGGGGTCCCAAAGGAGCCGGTTGGAGAACACTGGTGTAGCATCCTGAAGAACTAATTTCTGTGTAATAGAGCTATGTTTCTGCAGCTCTTCATAAACTGGCTCATATTGTGCTTATTCTTTCTTGTGGGTTTTGTTGTGCCGTGTTCCGTGTGGCTTGTCTCGTTATCTGGGTGGAATGCCTGTCTGTATCGGCACTGCTCCCCCTGTGAAATGACGTTGTCCCTCTTCAGGTCTTTCCGGAGTACACCTTCCACTCAATGGCCCCTCTAAGCAGGGATGTGCCCATTCTGTCGTGTGGTGGCCTGGCCAAGCGCTGGCTGGTGCCTGGCTGGAGGATGGGCTGGATCCTCATACAAGATCGGAACCAGGCTTTCGGGCCAGAGGTAAACCTGGCTGTGTGCAGCCCACCTCTGAGACACACACACATACACACACACACACACACACACACACACACACACACACGCTCATGTAGGGTAAACATATCATTATGGGGACCGCTCATTCATTTCAATGGGAAAAATGCTAACGCTAACTATGACAACCTTGACCCCTACCCTGCCCTAACCATAACCATAAGTAACCTAACAAAATACAAGAGTTTTTGCATTTTTAGTTTTTTCATAGCAGTCACCGATTTTTATAAAATAGACTTTTCCCTTATGGGGACCAGGAAACTGGTCCCCATAAGGGGAAAAAACGGATATTTATCACGTTATGGGGACATTATATCCCCATAAATATAGGTAAACCCGCTCGCACACACACACAAACACACACACACACACACACACACACAGAGCCTGCTCCTCTCCTTCTGATGCTTCACCACTTTTGTTTTCTTTTACCAAAATCCAAAAAATACCACTTACTGACCATTTTTTCTTTCTTCCCTACAATCACACTCTTTCCCTCTTTCGTCTTTACTTTCTTTGTGATGCTTATTCATACACAGTTCTCATTTCCTCACAAACACAACGGTCGTTCTCTGGCTTTCAGATCCGGGAAGGCTTGGTCAGGCTGAGCCAGAGGATTCTGGGAGCTTGCACCATCGTCCAGGGGGCGCTGGAGAGCATACTGAATAACACGCCGCAGGAGTTCTATCATGACACTGTCAGCTTCCTGAAGGTGAGATGGGGCACGGGGATCAGTCACCAGCCCAGATTAAATAGCGTAAAAGCAAAGTGACGACTTCTGAATGCCGTCAATTGCCAGTGCTAGAAAAACTGATCATTTCACTTTCATTCCTCCTCCATTGGACTCCCTGCTCCTGTCTTCCGGTCTATCAGTCCAACTCAGAGATCTGCTTTTCGGCGCTGTCCTCCATTCCTGGACTCACTCCCGTCAGGCCCTCAGGAGCCATGTATCTCATGGTGAGTCCCATTTACTCTGGGCTTTATTACTGGAAACCAGTCTGGGGAGTGGGAAAGTGAGAATGGAGGTGTGCCCAGACCTTTGCTAGTCCCTAATGTACAGGGATCCTGAACATGGGCATATGTTCGCTTTGTGTAGGTGGGGATCGAGATAGAGAACTTTCCAGAGTTTGAAAACGATGTGGAATTCACGGAGCGTCTAGTGACCGAACAGTCTGTCTTCTGTCTCCCGGCAACGGTAAAGCTACCGTTTCAATCTATTTTTACAAAACACTCAATGTGTCACCTACAGTGTAATCACCCTCCTACTCAGCATGTCCTGTTTAACGGGCTCAAGCTGTGCATCTGAAACCTTTGTCACAGTTCAAGTCCCGTTTCTTTAGTGAAGTCAAGTCACTTTATTACACATGTAATGGAATTGAGACTCATTCAGAGCATCACACAGCGAGGATAAGAACAGCCGAACAATAAACACTGGCAAATAAATGAGGGGGGGAGTAAAGAAAAAGAATTAAAATTAAGAATTAAAAATAAAAGTAAATGTAAAATGTAATCAGGTCTCCAGTGACCCTGCTGCTTCACTCCCCAGGCTTTTGAGTACCCCAATTATTTCCGGATTGTGGTGACGGTACCGGAGGACATGATGGCGGAGGCGTGCGGTCGCATTCGGGAGTTCTGCCAGGAGCACTACAAGCCGCATAGACAGGACACCAATGGACTGGACCAGTGAGGGAGGAGGGGGCTACAAAGAGCAGGGCTAGAAAGGGGGAGAAAAGCAAATGGTGCCCTTTCTAACAAGCGGAAATCTGCAGACGTGGTCCAGCTGCAGCCAGTCTATATTCCTTCAGGTTTTTGAACACCCCCTACCCCAGTAAGTGGTATAGTCCATGCAAATTACACGCTATATAGTTTGATCTGAATAATCAGAATCACTTCTGTTTCATAATATAGCTGGTTCCGCATAATTGAGGACATATAATTATTTGTCCTGATGATAGATGCACATTTAAAAGTTTTACATCTATTTTAAATGTTATCCAAATCAAACTGGCTGCTAAAATATAACTTTTCTTTTGGGCATGTCACGAAAGTGTCAGGATACTTATGAGATTGTAATTCACCTAATGTGGCTGTCTAACTTCAGTCATAAACTCAGAAGCCATAATTTATTTGTTTTGCAGCTTGGGCATAAAGAGACTCATGTTGTACATATGTTATATATTATATAATATATTATACATATATTAGGGTAGTTAATGGGCATTTATTACATCAACTAGTCCACCTAGCGGAGAGGATGTATATTTGACTTGTTGGATAGAGTCACAAGCATTCTCCATCATGCTGGCTTTGTGCTGGTTGATTTTGTGAATTGTGAAAGATAAATTAGTGGAACTCCACTGACTTAATTAATAAAGTAGCCACCTTGTTGTAAAATACCTTGAGCTTATCACTAGCTAAAGGAAGACTGCAGTTACTCTTGGAGTACAATGGACTGTCTTCCAACAGCTTATCCTGATCAGGGTTGTGGTGGGGACTGATTCCAGGCAGCAATGGGTATGAAGGTAGGAGATACCCAGAGCATGATGCTGGTCCATCTCAGGACATATACATGCACACATCACAGGAAAATAAGAGACACCATTGAACCTAAGCACGTCTTAGGACTGACTGTGGGAAGAAACCCAAGCAATCCTGTGAAGAACACATGAACTACGCACACATAGAGGTGGGATTTGAACCCACAAAGCAGCCCACTGAGCCACCATGCCACCCTCACAACAATTCTGATCAGATATATTTATATTTATGTAAAATTTTGCAGGGAATGCGATCCTGCATATTGCTTTTATGTGTTTTGTACTAGTTTCAAAGTAGTCATATATAAAACAATCAGATTTTAATGTATTTAGAAATTCACTAATTGAATCATAAGCTTGATACAATATATATAATATTACTCATGTATTGAAATGTTTTGTGTAAAGAGTATTTTATGCAATTTGGATAATGAGCATTTAAAAAAAATAAATGGTGGTCTTCATCATTAATTTTGTGTGTATAAATTTGTATTCATTGTTGTCTTCTTTTGGTTTATCAGCAGGCTGATACCAATAGTGCTGTAAATATTTTGATTCTGATACTGAAACGATACTGCGGCAAAAAAGTAAAACATCAAGAAAATTAATGGATAAATAGATGGCAGAACACGGAACTGATTTTTTAAGTAACATATTTTGTTGATATCAGTCAAATAAAAAAATATAGCCTATTTTGAGATAGGTGCATGGCAACATATTTTAACAAAAGTAAAATGTTTCAGTTGCAACTGCTGTACAGCCATTGAACATTAATACATTTATTACACTGATAATTGGATTGTTGTAAATAATTAGATCAAGGTCATGGTGTTATTAAAGTTGACAAAGACCCAATGTTGTCCCTTTGGTTTATGTGATTTCTTTTACAGTTCTTGAAATTTACAAGACATCACTTAATAACCAACAATGATTACCTTAGCTAAACAGATTACCTAAAAAGAAAGTCAAATTAAACAGTTAGGCTATCATTGCCCCTGAAGTGGTACAAAGTTTGCTTGTCACAAAATAAATCACACTTACGTTTGAGGTACAGGCCTTATAATAATGTGCAGTATCACATTCGCTCACCTGTTTTCTTTAAATTCTTTGCTAAGTTTAACCAGAGTTGCCAACTTTGGTCAGCTGGCTGACGTGAGATTTTCAAACCTTAACAGGTCTGCACACACATTTACATGTATGTAAGAGTCTTATTACTTGTGCATAGGGTTTGCAAACTACAGCAACTCTTTAGATATAGGCCGTGCTAATTTTAGGTTTATAATAGAATAACGTAGATTTGCCTTAAGATTTCTTGCGTGAGCGTGAGAGTCAGAAAGCCTGGCAGTCATATGCGTGAGGGTTGGCTGGTTTAATGTGTTGGCTCTTGGTCTGCGTTGATTTCAAACATTTTTTACACACAAGCTTTGCCGTGATTACCCTGTTTCGCTTCCTATGTCCGCTGTGTCGACAAGCTGTAGCCATGTCTCTCGTGTAGTGCTTTAACGTTCGTGGGGAACGAGCCCTTTACAGGAACCATACACCGACGTTCACTTGCAAAGATTCGTTATTTTCATTGTTTCGCTTGTTCTGAGAAATACGACGTAAATGCTGCTTCCTTCTCCGACAATGGCCAGTGAGGGCAAGTGTGGCATGTAAGGGCATGACTGAAATACGCCACCTACTGGTGTAGTATATAGCTTACACGTGAAGCGGCTTCTCTTATGCTGCAGCTGGATTTTACGAAATAAATGGTTCAAAGTTTTTGCAAAGCAGAAGCTCCCTCTGGAGAAAAGTATGGCGATGACGTGAAGGCCTGGATTCATGCAGAAATCCAGCCATAACTCAGCCTTATTGCTACATAACACGACAGCTCCTGTATATCAGCTGAAGTACTTGCATGCAAATCTTTGGTCATAATTCTATCTATGGTAATATGGTATACCATACTTGAATTACTGGGTCACAAATATCCAGCTGTATAAATATGGAAAAAAATCTAAATGTGCAAGCTGCATTGTTCTTTCAGGTTCATGATCAATATTTTTTTTAAAGTTTAAATTTACAGATGCCTGTGAACCTGTTATTTCATTCACATGTGTCATGCTTTGCCATTGACTTGAGTGTTGTTGCACAAATTGATGACTTACCCATGTTTTCACCTTGAGAATGGAAGGACATAGACGTTGCAAAATCAAAGCCATGTATCTTCATTCTTTCAAAAGCCCCCATGTCAGTTTGTACACGTAAACACACATTGTCACTAAAAACAAATGCCCTCAATGTTATCATCATAAACGGTGTCCCTATGACATACACACGCACACACACACACGCGCACACACACACACCCACACACACACACACACACACACACAAGTTTGTAATTATATCTTTGTGCAGACTATCCATTCATTTCTGTGGGGAAAACTCTAACCCCAACATGATGACCGTAACCCCTACCCAGCCGTAACCGTAACCATAAGTAACCGAACAAAATATGAGACTTTTGCCATTTTTTGTTTTTTGATTGCATTCGAAGGTCTTAGTGGACATCTGAAAACATCAAAATAACCCCCACAACATCAAAATTACAGGTTTTTATTACATTGTGAGGGACATTTGGTCCCCACAATTTAATGTAAACTCAATCCACACACACTCACACTTACACACACAAACACACACACACCATGAGCCTTCCTCTCTTTCTGTGTTTAATACACACAAACACACACACACTCACACTTACACACACACAAACACACACACACGCCCAAACTCACACTCAAACTTTAATCTGCGACCCTTAAAGCAGCTTCCTGGGTTGAATGATTAACCAGCGAAACAGAGCAAAGCGGCGCTCAGAGCAGTAAGAGAGAGTGAAAGGGCACGGGAGAGTAAGGAAGGGAACCAGCGTTAAGGAGAGAAGGAGAGAGGGATCTTTACAGGCCACCTTGTCCATGGTTTGCCTGCAAATCCAGCATGGATGACGAGAGCCCACCCAGACGGACCCTCCAGCTGAATGACGGCGCGCACATGCCTCTGCTGGGCTTGGGAACGTGGAAGGTCTGTGTGCTTTCGCTTTTCTCCTTCCTCTTTCTTCTTCTTTTCCACATCCCTCTTTTACTTCTACAGAATTCTATTCTTTTGTCTTACACACCTGAATGCACGCCGAATTTTCTGTATGCGTTCAGTGTTAATGTGGCTTTTCTTTGAATCTGTGCAGAAACTAGACAATTCCAACAATTTATACATTTATACATTATCGTGAATGTTAGTTGAAGGCCCATGACATATTGCTCCTCAAGCCTCATTACCCCTTAAGCGATCCTGACATTCAGGTCTTAGAGAAGCTCCCATGTCGGTCCACAGATCAGTTTACTTTCTGTTGCATTTGATAAAAGGTCAATTGTACATGAGCCATCCTACATCTATCAGGATTGTTGAGCTGCATCATGTGACATCACCTGTAACGGATATTGCTTTATGGTTAACATATAATAATAACACCCTGTCCAGGGTTATTCCTTGTCTCGCACTCATTGTTTCCGGGATAGGATTGGGATCCACATGACCCTGCAAAAAATGAATGAATGAATGAATGAATGAATGAATGAATAAAGGTAAGTAGATGGCCGTGGGGGAGAAAAAACTCCCTTACCTCTATAAAATGTAGTAATGTGTGTTTTCTGTTACCGTTATTTTTGGCACTAATAAATCAGGTGTGAGATATAAATGAGACACCCAGTGAAATTCCCAGCAGGAAACACTGAAAAAACCGCCCACTGTGTTTTGAATGTGAAACATCGACCGTGTTTCAGGTTATAGGTTCCTATGGCCTAAGTTATGCACTTGAATTTCAGCAGCCCCCTAGTTGTGGTCATTTTTGCCATTGTGCGTTTTTCCCATGATGCCTTTAGCCGTGTGCTGACAGCCATGCCGATACATTGACGCTTTTCCGTTGCTGATCCTCCCATCTTGGCTCGCTGAGCAGACCTGCAGCTCCGAAATGTTTCAAGGCGCCGTGGAAGCGGCCATCGCCGCCGGTTACCGGCACCTTGATGCCGCCTACAGCTACCGCAATGAGGTGGAGGTGGGGCGTGCCCTCCGTGCCAAGATGGGCCAAGGCATCATCCGGCGTGAGGACATGTTCATCGTCAGCAAGGTCAGCATGTGCTCCAGTCATGATTTAGTTTCACTCTGGTTACTGATCAAGAAGATTCATCACATATCTTCGTGACCTTCTGATCTCTTAATTGTTGAGCATATTGCATCTCTAATGATCTCCCTATGAGATTACTGTTACAAAAAAGTTCAAAAATACATGGTCTGGTATTGAAGACCAACTAAATGAGCCATTGCCCTATATACTGTACTTTTGATCTAGTTATTAGCAAAATAGCAGGAACAGAACAGCCACGTTCCACATTCCTGAAGGTAACAGGCTTCTCCTATCTCCATAGCTGTGGAGCACACACCACGCCCCCAGAGACGTGCCTCTGTGTCTCAGCAAGTCCCTGAGCGACCTACAGCTTGAATACCTGGATCTTTATCTTATACACTTCCCTGTCAGTCTCCAGGTATGACTCATGCCAAAGGCACTGTATTAAAAACAAAGTTTCTCTTCCGCTAACGGCCTGATACTGCCTACTGCCTTCCACCCCCTTCAGAGAATAGATGATGAGCTCTTTCCAGAGAAAGACGGCAAACTTCTCAGCACAGACATTGACTACGTGGATGTCTGGAAGGTAAAGACACTTTTACTATGTTGTCCCAGGTGGTAGTGGGACATTTACATCAGAATAAAAAGGATAATCAAAAAACCGTACATATGTACATAAAGTATATTCTGTGATATACACTTAGTGGCCAATTTGCTATGTACACTTGCCCGCTAATGTACACACAATGTCCCTTCAAATAGCATAGCGTAGCTGCAACTGAATACATACGGCATACAGACAGGGTGAAGAGGTTCGTTTACTGAATGGCTGATAATTATGCACCCGATGCATGATCTAACAAATTTTGAATGTGCTTCTGATGCCAGACATGGTGCTTCCAGCATCTCACAAACAGCCTCCTTCCCGGGGATTTTCGCACGATACAGTGTCTAGAGTTTACAGAGAATGATGCAATACACCCAGCCTGCAGCTAGTGACAGTTCTGTGGGTGGATATATCTTGTTCAGGGGAGGATGACCAGACTCGTTAAAGCTAACAGGAAGGTCCCAAGTACAGAAATAACATCTCAGTACAACAGTACTGTGCTGAAAGGCTTCTCTGAATGTAAAACTCATCTACTCCTGAAGCCTTTCTGCAGGCAACAGTGGTTCCTACCCTGTAGTAGGTGGGAGTATCCAATAAAGAGTAATTAAGGGTGTGCACATCACACAAGGGTAACAGACATTTATCTGACGCTTTCATCCAAAGTGATTTATGGTAGAAGGAAGGCTTACAGTTTATGTGAGCTCCCTAGGATTTGAACACTCCACTTGTGGCGCTAAAGACATAAGTAAAAGACTCAAGACTTAAGACTCAGGAGTAACACATCGATGTACAAGTACACAGTGTTTCCCTTTGGCTCCCGATGGTGCCACACAAAAATGCAAAGACGATAGATAAATGCATAACATCGACAACACACTACACTGCAATATAATATAAATATACATAAACATGCATATAAATAGTGTGCAAAATTGTGGTTGATTTTGTGCGCGTGTGCACTGTAGTGCAATTAAATAATGTGCAAATGTGATCAAAAAAAAAGGCAAAGAGACCACAGCCAGTAGCATCATTGGGGTAGAGGCAGACTTTGAATTTGGGGGGCTTGACCCGTGTCAATCCTTCGGTGGATGTGGGGCACTGAAGAGCCTGATGGGGTGTATGGAATGAAGAGTTTAGAGCCCTCTAGATTTCCTAATGTCATGAATGTGAAGCTAGCAGACTGGCTGCATTTCCAAAAAAAAAAACTATTGGATGTTATAGGAGATGGAAGCTCTGCAGGCTTCTGGCAAGGTGAAGAGCATCGGCGTGTCGAACTTCAATATCTCCCAGCTGGAGAGGCTGCTATCTGTGGCCAAGGTGCCTCCTGCCGTTAACCAGGTAGTGCGAGCTCCTTATCTCTCCATTTCTCATATTCACACCTTCATTCTCGTCATTCATCCTGTACCGATCGCTCTCCATGCGTCACAATCATGCCTGTTCAGTTGCTGAGGGCCAATATTTACTCCACTGTTGCTCAAGGTCATCTGACAGCGAATGGTGTTTATCATTCTGCATGCCTGCACTGGGCTTGATAACTGATTCTTTAAAAGCTCTTATTTTTTTAATGCTCATCTTACTTGTGCGGCTATTATACATGCACTTTTACAGAGAGTAACGCATTTTAAAAGACGGTACCTTAAGGAAACCGTACACAGCATCTACGAATGTGAGTCTTCCTTTCTGGTCTGCTCGCGTTGACGTTCCTGCAATGTCATTCCCCGTCTTTGATATAAAGACCCTCTCTGATTGGCCTGCCATCCTCAATTTCTCATAGGTGGAACTGCACCCCTACTTGGTCCAATCGGAGCTGATCCAGTTTTGCAAATCCCGGAACATCGCCCTCACAGCTTACAGTCCATTTGGTTCCCCGGGAAGACCCAAGGAACTGTGGGTCAAAATAAAGTTTGCATCTCAACATCTAGTCTGTTTAGCGTCATGGAACCCAATTCCATATTTTAATATAAACAGAAGTTTTACATGGCTGCTATTAATCTCTTGTTGACAGGCATTGATATTTTAAACAGATGGAAGTGGTTAGTGAGATAAAAAGCCCAGCAATAATTTTGCATCAAATAACCCAAGATGTACTATTGCTGAATGCGTAACACAACATTCTGCGGTAAAAAGGCACAAAATCAGAACATTCTAGACTAAAGGTCTTCATATACCGGGAACCTTGCCATTACTGAGGCAGCACACAGAGCAAAGTGCAGGAAAACTGTACAGGTGGTCATGCTTCTGTCAGCTTAAAACCTAAATCACCTTTCAGCAGGACAACGGCCCCAAGTTCAGGCCATCGCAATGCCGTAGAACCTTAACATGATACAGAGAATGAGCTAGAAAGGCTGATCATCTCACTCTGAATTGGACAGGCTTAAACCATGCCAAAAAAAAACAGGAAAGACTTAGAAATTCTGAGGTGAACAGGCAAAAAATATTTCCATCCACCCATCTTTTAGAACCCCCTTTACATTCAGGATGGTGGTACACTCCACCAAGATCTGCGAAAGAAAATTCCTAAGGTGTAGCGTTGACTTGGAATATGGGGTGGACAGCATATATCATAAATATGTGCATTTTTTTTATTGACATTCAGATTTTATTTTATATATTTGATGAAAAATGTAGCTAAACAATTCTTCATTCAAACAGAGCTAGAATGCCTTAGCATCCTCTCCAGTGAGCTCATAGTCTGTCTGGGATGGGTTCTAGACTCGCTGTAATCTATACTGTATGTTCTTACGGGAGATGGATGGATTTAAAATGTATTTTTACGCTAGATTTCTCATCTACCTAATGTACTCTGCAGTCACCGTGGAGACAGTGACCCTGAGAAGCTGCTGGAGGACCCTGTGGTGAGGGGTGTGGCCGTGAAGCACAGGAGGACGCCAGCGCAGGTGAGGGGGGCCGTCTGCTTCATTCCCCCCACTCTCACACCTTTCTCTTTCTGTTCTCCTTCCGCTCTCTATCTCGCTAACCGCCCTGCACTAGCATTTTACCCAAGAAACACTAAAAAGTGCTTGTCTGGATCAATGGGTTAAGATGAGTCGGCCCTTGATAAGAAGGTTGTTGGTTCAAATCCCAGGACTGACAGGTTAATTTGACCCGTTGGGTCCTTGAGCGAAGCCCTTAACTACCAATTACTCCAGGGACCATCTGACCCTGTTTATGTCACTCTGGGCAAAAACATAGCTAAACAACAGTTAACACAACAACAGTTTTTTGAAGAGTTGTCAGTGAACATTGGCTTCTTATGTGTTTGTGGGTTCAACTGGCAATTGGAAAATTGTTAAAACAGAAAACTCATTATATCCAGTTATTAAAATAATAATGTATTATTTATATTGCTTTTTCCAATCTCATTTAGCTGTGTCTGTTGCATATTCATTTTTATTAAAGTAAGCAGAAGTCTCCAGGCATAAAAACAGCACATTCAGTAAGTCTTAAATTTAGATTTAATTACTTATCATAAGCTTTTGTCCAAAGTGATGTACATTCATGAAGGCAGGATCAGATAGTCCCTTTGCTCAAGGGCAGAATGGTGAAATTGCTCTGCTGAGCCTTGGATTTGAACCAGCAACCCTCCAATCACAGGCACAGCAGCTTAAGTCACTGAGCCTCAGGCTGCCTTACTGATTCAATTGTGAATTATGCCCCTTCCACCCAAAAGGTGCTCCTGAGATACCACGTGCAGCAGGACATTGCCGTGATCCCGAAGAGCGTCAAGCCCAATCACATCCTGGAGAATACCAAGGTAACCACTCCCCCCAACTCCACCCCCACTCCGTCCAGTAAAGGTTGTAAAGGTTACTCCTGTTTGGGAAGCCAGTCTGCAATTAAAAGGGCCTTTCGCAACCGTAACCCCAGGCCTCTACTACGCACACATGTAAAGGTGGTGCACGTTAATAAACACGCGTGTTGACACGGATGGCGTCAGCCAGAGGGGCGGGTAAGAGGGTGGATGGTAACACGGACGGGGCTGATCCCAGCGAGAATTCTGTGGTGACGTCCACCAGTCTGTCCCAAACTGCTCCGATAAAACATCCAGCTTAGTAACAGGGTATATTCACATTCCTCTGCTAACCACAAAAAAACAATAAAAACAACCAACGGAAAGCCATTAAAGCAGATCCTCTGTAACTCTCTCCTGGAATATTTTTATTATTATTTCTGACACATGGGGTCCAGCTGTGTGTGACAGTGTGTCACTTTTCCCATAAGAATAAACCACGCCCATGTGTGTTGCTTACAGATCTTTGATTTCTCCCTGGATGAAGAAGATATGATGGCATTAAGATCCCTCAACAGAGGCTGGAAAGCCTGTGACATCAGCGGGTAAGGGAGACCCCGTCTGCCACGAAGCTTTGCAGACACACGCCATTGACTGCTCTTAAAGACACACACGCGCACACACAGATCAGGTATCTATATTCTCTTTCACACACACAAATCTCCGTCGTTTCCTGGACACACACACACTTTAAATGTTCACAGAGCAGTAACAGCTGTGTTTCAGACAGCAATAATATCAGCTACCAACAGATTCTGACTTTATCTATTAAGTGTTGATGTGATCGCGCAATGTTGCACTTTCTGGTGATTGAATAGTTGTCTTATTAGGTTCTTGCTTTGTTAGAAGTTGTTGTGTGTCTCCAGTCCTGCTTACACTGGTACCTGGTCATTCACTGGACGCTCAGCCCAGCCGCACTCACGCCTAATCGACTCCTTGACAGCCGTATGTCTGTGATGCGCCGTTTGCCTCACTTGTAAAAAAGATTCTGCTAAATAAATGTAAATGTTTTTGCTCCAGGTTGAGGTCCCATCCATTTTACCCTTTCTAATGAGGCATCCACTGGACCCATTGAAGAGCACCTCAGGGACACTGGTGCGCTGGAGAACACCCTCGGCAGATAGTGCCGGGAGACCAACCACTCCATTTTCAACAATCGTAAGCCGATGCTATTCACTGTATATGGTGGGTAGTGATGAACCGGGAATAAAAGACACTGACTCAATGTTCACGTTTGTGTTAAGCTTCAAGGACGAGGAAGACATGTAGGTGACAGTACACAGAAACAGACAGACATGCGTGAAACACAACTCAACGCAGGCTGAACGCCGTTGCCATGACAACACTTCTGCGCAGCACTGGACGTTACGTACGAGGAGGGTCCCGTCGCAAAGAGAAACAGTCATTTTAAGAGTAATACTGAAGAAGTCAGCATGGAATGTAAGCCGTGGTAGTCGGGCTGCACAGCGGAGGGCTTTATCCTTCAGAACTTTGTGCTTTGTGGAGTCTGCTAACAGTGTAATAGTCTTCGTCATTCTGCTGATAGGAGCTGCCCTTCTGTCACAGCCCCTTTCTGTTCTCTGTCAGTCACCTGCCCTGCCACTGGGGGGCGCTGTGTGCACTCTTGTTCTGGTGCGCTACCTTCTTTTTGTCCGGACTGCAGGGCCGGGGCCTGACTTGGCACACGCAGGCCGACGCCCCTGCGATGCGTTTGGGCAGGTCGGGCCCCCGTGCCCACTGAGCCTTGGCCGGGTCAAAGATCTGCGTGCTGCCTGAGAACACCATGCTCTCCCAGCTGTAGCCGCCCAGCACGTACAGGCGCCCGCCCCAGGAGGCCACGGCTGCCTCGCTGTTGGGCTGCAGCAGCGGACCGACCCGCGTCCACTGCTCGGTCGCCGGGTCGAAGGCCTCCACGCTGAGGATGTCGAAGCGTTCCATGCTGTTCTCCAGGTCGTCGCTGCCCCCGATAGCGTAGATGAGCTCGTGCAGCGAGGCCATGCTGTGCCAGCCACGGGCCACGCCCATGGGCCTGCGCTCCACCCACGTGTCGCCCGCCAGCTCGTAGCTCAGCATGTCCCGCCTGTATGGCCCGATCTGGTAGTCATGGCCACCCGAGATGTAGATCAGGTTCTTATGAGTGGTGCCGGCATGGCCATAGGTAAACCTGCAGAACCAGGTCACGGTTAGCTGGGTGGAGGGTGCAGGGGGGGGGGGGGGGGGGGGGGGGGGGGGTACGGGGGAGGTAGGAAAGCCACGTGCAAACTGTACCTGGGGAGTCCTGCCACGTAGGTCCAGTTGTCCTCTAATGGCCGGTACACCTCTACCGAGGACAGAGCACCATTGTCATTGCGTCCCCCTACGGCGATCAAACAGTCCCCAACTGCCCCCAGGTAAAAATCCACACGCCTCTGGTTCATCGGGGTGCCCTGGAGAGACATGATTTTAGTGGGGGGGGGGTGGGGGTTAGCAACAAGCAGCCACCACAGAAATATGCAAATTAGTGTGATAGTGGCTCAAAAACCCAGAGCGGGCGTGCTCACTGAACGTCCAATCACAAAATGGCAACCAAGACGGTAACCAATGGGCATGGGGTAACCATGTCAGTGAATGGTAGAGCACAGTAGCCCCGCCCACTGTGGATTGTAACACTTTTATTCCTTTAACACTACCCGAGGCCCCGATGTCTTTTACAGTGTGACAGTGTGACAGTGTGACGGACTGCACCTTGGTCCACTGGTTGTCACGTGGGTTGTATCGGTACAGCAGGTTGCTGGCGGCATCGCCGCCATTGTCCCGGGACGAGCTGCCCCCCGCCGTGAAGACAAAGCCCCCGAGGATGGCGACGCAGTGGTGACTCCGGCGGGCCGGCAGCTGGGTCTCCACCTCCCATCTGGCGTCGCCGTCTAGCTGCCACACGTCGGCGCTCAGCTCCTCGCCACGTTCCGACACCTCGCCGCCCACCAGCAGGAGGCGCTCCGTGCCTCCGCGCAACGCGGAGCGCGGCGTCTGCAGCAGCGGCTGCGCACTGGCCCGCTCGTGGTAGGCGAGCGCCTCCTCTACCAGCGCCTCGCAGGCCGCCTCCGAGGGCAGCAGCGAGCGGACGGCTGGCAGCACGCGGCCCTGGAGCTCGGCGGCCGGGATCAGGGGGAAGTGGATGTGGGAGAGCAGCTGGCGCGCGTGGGCCTGGCGGTCCGGCCGCTGGCTCAGCCACTGCAGGGCGGCCTGTAGCAGGGCCTGCTCGCTGTCGTGCTCCACCTGCCCACTGGCCAGGTACGCTGTCAGCTTGGGCAGCCGCACGTCACGCAGAAAGTCGGGCGTGAACGACAGCGTGGCGAAGCGCTCCAGCACAAAGCGGTCGATGTACGCCTCCAGCCGCTCCAGGCTGTAGAGGAGCGCCAGCTCCTGCAGGTATAGGTAGTTGTCCTCGCTCACCTCCTTCTCCAGATACTCGCAGCAGAAGTCCACAGCGCGCCACACCTGCAGCAGGTGCGCCGTCTCCAGCACGTAGTCGATGTTGCCCCCGTCCAGCGGCAGCTCCCCGCTGTACAGGAAGTCCACCACCGCCTTGAGCCCCACGTAGGAGGCACCCACCAGCTGCACCTCCGCCTGGTGCTCCTCACGCATGCCCAGCGTGAACATGGCCTGGAAGTAGGGGCTGGAGACGGCGAGGAGGGCGCGGTGCGCGGGAACGCGCTGCTCGTCTGCGACCAGCACCACGTCGCACAGCTGGCCCCTCTGCCGCTGCTCGCTGAGTCCCTGCAGCACCCAGCCGGCCTGCTCCACCCAGCGGTATACCTGCGGGCGAGGGGGCCAAGGTGACACGGAGGGGGGGGCTGCCTCAGAGCACCATGCAGAGGCACAGTGCCAGGAAACCAGTTTTATCTAGTTTATTACCTGGCTCATTATCTATATTACATGCTAGAAGCTATAATAAATGCCTAAGGCACCCCAAACATACTGGGGGGAGGGGGGCGAAGGGGTTTCGCCAATAAACAAGGATAACTCAATTAAAATATGTTACAGAGAATAAAATAGTGTACTGTGGTCTAATGAAGAGCCTGTAACGCTGAATCACACACCATCCCCATAGCGGAAATTAGAATTAGAATTTGGTGATCAGTGGTCATTGTCAACACACCACAGTGCACAACAACAAAATGTGTCCTCTGCATTTGACCCATGTGTGACTTTCGTGACATAGCAGGGGGCAGCTAATTCAGCGCCCGGGGAGCAGTGCTTGGGGGCGGTACCTTGCTCAGGGTACCTATGTGGTGCCTTGCTGGTTGGGGATTCGAACCTGCAATCTTTCAATTACAAGTGCGCTTCCCTAACCATCAAGCCACCACTGCCCAATCACACCCTTGGTCCAGCGAGCGTGCAGTATTCAGCTGGACCTGCGGTATTCTGCTACTTTTGGCAGAATCTACCCTTTGGCGTTTTGAAGTGTGTAAAAATTTATGTGGAACAGAAAGAACAAAAACAAGTCCAAACTCTTCATCTTCGTGCAGAACAATTATATCATAGGGAACCTCATAGCTCTTGGAGATGAATATACCCCACGCAGTGGTACATTTAAAACAAATAAAAGACATTCGACCACTGATTTGATAAATGGCCAGAAACAAATTTGTTGTAAAATATTACTGGCATAAGGAAATTAATACGCAATCATAAATTCAGAACTTCATTTTCCACTTAAGATGTACCATACTAAAGCAACAAATGTTGCATGTGACAATGCTTTAAACAAGAGTAGCGGTAAGCTGACTTTCATCTGTATTGTAGTTTCATTGTTTGTTTTAAATATAGCAAAGTGCCTATTACATAAACTCATTTCAAACATCATTTTAACTCAAACTTGAAACCTTTTGGAGCCTCGTCCTGTTAGGATGGGGAGCCATTATCTCTTATTTCATAAGGGAACTGGTGTGTGGGTGGATTGTGAGGACATGAGTTAGTGCGATCTAGCGAAGTTGGACATTGGGGTTTGATGCCCAGAGGCGGCTTGGTGGATGCTCTGCTGGCGGTGCTGACCTTCGAGGACTCGCTTATCCTATGCGGCCGCGACACCCGCGTTTGCCTGCCCCCGTCCATCTCGATCTCCTCCGTGCACCGCTACGGGATCTGTGGTACAGAAGGCAGAGAGACCTGAGCGTGCAGTTTGAGAAAGGGGGGGGTGATCAAGGTGCACTCCGTTATCATCATTAATGACACTTAAAGGCTATATTCTCAACACTTTGCCTACAAAACGGTATTTCCGCAACGGCGTGAAGCAGACCGACATCAGGATCATGGGGATTTCCTGCTTAAAAGAGAAACTAGACCTGCGCTTAATCGACCAAAATCGGGGAAAATGCAGGGTATAAGTAATATACTGCCTTTAAAGTGCACGTACACCTGAAACCTTGGTTCGCCCACCGTCCTTGTGTAGCTATCTGCCATATAGGAAATATATACCGGGCTGCAGTGGACTATAGACACCCATTATTCCGATGACCACCGCGATCGTAGCTGAACGTCTGACACAATTACCACAGCATCGCCATGTGCTGACACGCCCGGATCCATCCCAAAGTTTCGCAGGAAATCATCCTAAGGGAGGACAACAGCAGCAGCCATGGCCCCATCCAGGAAGTGTCTCGTTGATCGACATCTGCTCGACCAATCGCGCTGCTTCCTTTCCGCCGTAGGCCGGGCCGGTATGCAGTGCCCTATTATGCAGAAGTTAACACTTGATATTCCAATTATGTGAAGTAATGTTCTAATTGCAATTATTCCACGTCACTGAAATATAGTCTGTGTCATAATTTTCAGACAAATACCAGTTAATACTATGACATTAACCATTGTATAAGCGCAGAAACAATGCAAGATATTGTTATTTATTCATGAACATTTGTGTTTGGTATCAAAAAGCACTTGCTTTCAAAACTGTAACATATAACTGACACACACACACACACACACATTCCAAAAGCGGCGTGCAGGTCTACGAGTGCGTGTTCTGCCTACGAATGACGGCTGAAGAGAACAAAGGAGTTTCACATGGAGAAAACACCTTGCACACCTTGTGACGGATTGCAGCAATAAACATTTTCATGTTCTCATCATTCTTCACGTCATTTGTAGATATTACAACAATCACGTTCGATATTTGCATCCTCGCATCTATAGCTGCATGTCTATATGCGCAAATCAATGCAAATGTATCTTTATATACAGAACACAATATTTCGGTACATTAAATGGCTCATGGACTGCAGTGCACTAACAACCCAGAAGGCGGCACGAAAAACCTAAATTTCCCAACAATAGAGAAGGGGGTGTATTTTTGTTTCGTTGCATCCCTCGGTTGACCATTAGGAGGGGGGGTATTCTGCGTCTGTTAAGGCGCCCGTTTGCCGTCCGACAACCTGATTGACGAACATCACCAACGCCCAGGAGCTGCCCATAGGAAATGCGCCGGGCGCTGGACAGACTCGGCGTTTCCGATCGCTGAGCGCAGAGGCGACGGCGCAGTGCGACCCGACCCGCGGCGCACCGACCGACCGACCCAAGGCGCACCGACCCGACCCCCGGCGCACCGACCGACCGCGGCGCACCGACGCATCGTCGCTCCCCTCACACTCCGCTCTCATCTTCGCACGGTTTCCAGCCGCTCCTACTCTCCACAGCCACCCTTTCTTGTCTCCCCCACCCTTTTCGTCCATCTGTTCCCCCGTCCACCTTCCTTCTTATAAGCCATCATTCAACTGGGAAAATGGCAACGCGGATCGACAAAGAAGCTTGCAGGGAGGCGTACAACCTCGTCAGGGATGATAACACGGAGATTAACTGGTGGGTGACCTTAATTACAGCCGCGATTTATGTTTTACGAGCAATTATGTTGCGGGAAGTTGATGCGGCACCGCAAGAAATAAGGCGGGGGCTGAATTAATAAGGCAAAACACGGCTGTAATGATTTGTCATTGGTATTTGTTTCAAGATCCAGATTTTCATATTTAAACTTAAGCCCGGTAAATTTCTTATGGCGAAATGTTACCGATTGCTGTCGGTTATTGTATTGTAGTGATTTTGATTTTTGTCATCTTAACGCACATATCTGTGCGCAAAACTTACTGTTGCGCTGTAAGGTGTAAAAAGCAGTATAATGAGGCGTGCTGGCGCCTGGCGCCCGGGCGATGCCATCGACACCCAAAGCCGGGCTCTGTGGGTCTTGGAGCGGATTGTGCACCCCAGCTGACGGTGGTGTCCGGTTTATGCCTCAAGATAGGGATTAATGACGGTCCCCTCGTTTAACCGCAGACGGGGGATAGTAACCGAGTCGCGGTAGGGAGGGATTCATATCTCCTACTGCTGTACATGAAATGCATGCAAATTACACCCATCCTTGCCTGTATCCGCCGTAAATATAAACTAAGGAAACAGACGAGTATATATCAACCGAGGTTTGACCCGCTGATGAAACGGAATTCAGTATATGTATTTGTATATGTATAAGTTATTGCTTTCGTTATATTTAAATTATGAAAAGTCGGCTTTTACATTTTACAGTCTAGCACATAATTGTGAAATGCCCAACAGGGAGGGAGATGGTCAACATATGTTTTTATAAAATGAACCAAATGAATTGATATTATTATTAATATCCAATGCCAGGTAATCTCTGCAGTTCTGAGGAATTTGAATTTTCAGAACATATTCAGAGGGCAAACGGCACTCCTGTTTTTTTTTTTTTTTAAATTTTGTGAAGCGATTTGCTATGTATGATTTGGTAATATGACAAAAAATAATGTAAAATGAATTTTTATCCGTAATAAATGCCAAATGTTTTTTTTTCCAAGTCAAAATGGTGCATTATGATTACAATGTACAACTTCAGTAAGGGTGATAGACAGGCTATTGCACTTGGTGATTTTGGGCAAATTCTGAGCCTTATTGTCTGCGAGCTGTTGTTGCAGCAAGTGTTACATCCATCTCTTAATCGATTTTATTCATGTTCTTGGTAGTTTTTGCTCATTTAAGGATTCTTTTTTTATGTTGTGTGGTTACAGGGCTTCTTTCAAGTACGAAGGCTCCATGATTGTTCCTGGGGGGCAGGGGAGGGAATATGAAGAATTTAAGCGCCAGTGTACAGGTGAGATTTCTCGCTTATTTAATGGAGGCAGCGCAGCACTGCCACGCCCTCTTCATTCCCGGTCTGGAGGGCAGGAACAGGCCTCGTTCTCCAGCGGCCTGCATGAGTGCATGGCTGATATCCCAACTGTTTGGCCACTTTGTGGGGGATAATTACTACAGAGTCTCGCCTGCATGAACCGGTGTTTGCATCTCTACCTCAAGAAAATGACGCGCCTTCAGCAGCCGTAATGGAAAGACGTGGCTGTTAAACTGCACTGACCCATCAGCCTCTGGGGACTCCCTGTGTCACCGTGCTGCCGTCAGGCAACCAGAAGCTCAGTTTTGACCCTAAGCTGCACTGTCATACAGACAAAACAGTGCGAATAGTCGGCTTCTCCCTGCCCCTGTTTTTCACATTTCTATCAGTTTTCAAACTGTGCTTAGATGTGACTCACTGCAATAGCACTGGCTACAGATTTGATAACTAGGACTCTGCACTGATGCAGAAAGAAGCCTTTCACCAGTTATTCGCAGGTTCGGACACTGCACCCCATGATCACCACGGCGTCGCTTTAGGTCCTGTGGTCCCAGAGTAATGTCACCGTGTGCCCTTGAACAAGACCCTTAATCCCCAATTGCCCCTTGACCTCTGTTTCCAATTGTAAGTCACTCTAGAAAAAAAACATTTGATAAGTAAGTTAAATGTAGGTTAGAAATCAAGTGAAAGTACTGCCAAGGAAAGAAACTGAAAACCTATATGAAAGACATACCAAGGACTCTGTCACTCTGTGTTGAGCCCCCCATTAAATTGGTATGATTTCACACGGGCCCTCTGCATGTCATAGAAATTAATTTTACATTTCACCCAGCGATTCCCCCAAGCCCCTCCTGGCGCAGTTTTGTCTCCTGACAGAGTAAGTCATTTTATGAGTGGTTTTACGGGGAATCCTCTTTTTTAATGGACAGCGGCAGGTTAATCAGAACAGCGAAAGGTTTATGCTGTAGCCTTTGTCTCCTCGCGTCGTTCCGTCAGGGTGGCGGGACAGTGATATGTCAGCACACCCTTTTCAGCTGACCGCTATTAAAAGCGTAGAAGTTTGCGGGGGGAAGCATTTTGATGAGACACATGAGAGGGAGGAAGCTGTTCAGTCTGGGGGGGGGGGATGGGGGACTGGGACTTTTTTTTTTTTTGGTCTGGTCAGGTGACGCTTCTGCTGTCCCAATGGCAGCTGAACAATCAGTAATCTGTGGCATAACTTGGTTAAATATTTGAACTTTTAAGTAGCTGACAGATTAATATTTGATATGTTTACTGAGACTGACGTCTGCTAGGTTGCTTGGCTAACAACGTCTTCACTGGATTATCAGATTTTCATGGTCTTGTTAGTCTTTGATAGTGGGTGAATTAAACTAAAGTACAGAGGGAGGGTCAGGTGATTAAAGGAGGAGGAGGCTGTGACCTACTGGTGGGATCGGGTGTGACCTACTGGTGGGATCGGCTGTGACCTACTGGTGGGATCCTGGGCCAAAGATGAGCTCCACTCACATCTTGCACCACGTGCGGTTTCCTGACTGACGAGGTGGCTGTGAGTGGTGTTGAAAACCTGTGACTGTTTTCGTGATGGATCTTGATGGATTCTCTTCGTGGCAGCAAGTAACGATCAAGCTGAATTTTGGAAAGTCCACCACAGAAATGGATTTTCATGATGAGAACAGATCGACCAAAAAAAAAACTCATCCGGTTTGATGATGAACGGCCTTTGCTTTTTGTATTTAGCTGTATTGCACCAGGTTATAAGTTACTGAGAAACCATGATCCCTAGAGAAACATTTATAAAATATATAAAGTTTCAGGCATAGTTCAGTAAAACAATGTTACCTTGCAATTATTGTAGATGTGACAGGGTCAAAGTGTGCCTGACCGCCTAACAGCATTAAAGAAATAAACCTGTTTGTTTTATCTGCCCAAATAAACAAATTTTCATAAAAGGACTACATAGACCAATTCACCTTTCACAAATGTATTCAAACTTAGTCCCATATCTAGAATCTGTGGGTTTTTTTTTCCTCTCCACGATTAATATTTAGCACCAGTCTTTAGATTTGCACGCTCAGCCACTGAATATAGTCTTTTATAGGAACATCAAAGGGTCTGGAAGCAGTGGGAGCCGCAGTGGTGAAGAACGTGACCTAACTTTGCGGGTTTTAGGACCCAGCTGGCGAGGATCAGGCGCTCCGTAGCTTGTACGGATGCTCCGCTTTGCAAATTGCATTAGCGGTGAACTTGGTACAATAAAATGATGCCATGCGACATGTCACGCTTGGTGTGTGTGTGTGAAGAAAGCTGTGACTGGCAAGCAGAGACATTGCTGACAGATTGCATGGATGTTGAAGTCCTTGCTAACATATTACTCACACGGATGCCAAGCCTTTTATTGTATGTCTGCGGTTTTGTTTCTTCCGACGAGTTTTCGCACAGTTTTAGCTCTCGGTCTTCACGCTTTTCTCTTAGCATTTAACAGCGTAGCATTTACTAATTGGTGCAGTTATTCAAAGAAGCCACTGCAGCGTTTACCTGCTGGTGCCACCTGATTGGTCGTCAGAAGCTTGGAGAACAATTGGCAGGATGTGGTAGTAACCAATGAAGTAATGCAGCTTCACGTTGTATCCGAGCTGAATGCGCGTGTAATGCTGCAGTGCTTATGCTATAAGGAAAAGTTCAGCAAGATTCCAGTAGGTGGCGATGACAGTAATTAACATGGAATTTGTGTTATACTGTAAATGGGCTACTGGCAGCGTGTTTAAATAGGAGTCCTGGGGCGGATAATGTTTATGTGAGAAAGAGGCATGGAATAAGGTAAATGCTAAGAAGACCTTGTGTGTCAGAATAGAAGAAATGGTGTGTGTGTGTGTATGTGTGTGTGACTGATTATACACATTACTGACTGACTACGCATGTCTCTGTCCGCTTTTCTCCACTGGACTTAGGGACACTGGTTCCATTCTTTTGACTGGGAGCTCTGACCTAAATATCTCCCCTTGTCTGTCTTTCTGCTTTTGGTTGATGTAGAGACAAAGCTGATTGGCTGGGAACCGTCCCTCCTCCCCTCTATAACCTGCGCCCTGCCCTTGCAGAGGTCTGTGAGTTCACGCGGCCTGTCCCCTGCCTGACCACTGTCGAACCCCCCCACCCTCCACAGATGATGTACGTCTCTTTGGCTTCATACGCATCAGGACGGGAGACTCCATGAGCAAGCGTGTAAAGTTCACGCTCATCACCTGGATCGGTGAGAACATCAGCGGCCTGCAGAGGGCAAAGATCAGCACCGACAAGGCACTGGTGAAGGACATTGTGCAGGCGAGTTCCCATTTCTGACGCATCTGGGGTGGGTCTGGCCCTGCGCCTATTGGAAAGATCTGTCGATACATGCCCACTCGTGTTTTTCTGACGCAAACCTTCTGTGCACCTGTATTGTTTATATGGTCCTGATTGCAGTGACCCACTCCAGCACACTTTCCCATCTGTGTGTATTTGCCTGGCCCCGCCCCTTATCCAATTGCCCCACCCACAACCACTTGTGTTTTCCTGACCTAAACCTTGAGTGCACCTGCTTTGTATATATGGACTTGAATGTAATGACTTGACTTCAGCACACTTTCCTGTCTATGTATATGTGCCTGAACGCAGCCCCAGCAAAGTGATCGAGCGCGTCACAGTGACGCCATGTGACTCCGCTGTGTCACTGGAAACGCACTTTGGGCTCCAGGAACAATTACACTCTGTTCTTTTGGTCCCATTTCCTTTCGTTGGTCCCCCCCTGCTCCGGACACCCCAGTTACACAGTCTCAGGGCTGATTGCATGTGTGTTTGTAATTATTGCACTGCGAGGACCAGATCTCCCCACAATGTGATAAAAATCTGTACCTTTTTACATTGTGGGGACATTTTTTGGTCCCCACAAGGATAACTTCAATTTTATAAAAATCTGTGAACGCAATCAAAAAACAAAAAAATGCCAAAAGTCTCGTATTCCGTTTGGTTACTTATGGGTGGCCCCGCCCATTAGGGTTCTGCCCAGTGACACGTTCGCTATTGGCACGTTCCATTGGCCCGGGGACTGTTTAATCCTTAGGTCTCGACTTAAGGCAATAATTTTTCAGGGACTGTGTTAAAGTAAACAGGATGAAAGTGGGGGGGTGTTAACCTGACAAGTATAGTGAAGCATTTCTAAAATGTAAAAGGAGCAGATGGTTATTCCTTTCACATAGCTGCTAAGGGTGCGCCACTTTCAGGCCTACTGCTGTTGATCGATACTCACCATTAGTCACCAGAAGCTCCGGAGAGCGTGTGACCTCCCGCGTAAAAATCTCTGCATGTTAGTCGTGAGTTTGCTCAGCCCTGGACACTGGTGATTAAAATATCTGATATTCTCTTGCAGGGCAAACATGGTTAGGTCAGTTGACATTCCTAGATGGTGTGTGTGTGTGTGTGTGTGTGTGTGCAGTAGCCTAGCAGCCCATCCAGGGTGTACCTTGCTCTGTGCCTCCTGCCCCACCCCCCCACAATCCTGTCCTGGGTAAGTGCTTGAAAGATGGATGGATGGATGGGTGGGTGGATGGATGGATGGATGGATGGATGGATGGATGGATGGGTGGATAGATAATCAATACACTTACTGGTACAGTTGACATAAGATGTACACACATACACTTACAACAGTTGTTTGTGTTGCTACCCCCTCCCCACCCCAACAGAACTTTGCCAAGGAGTTTATGATCAGTGACATACGCGAGCTGGAAGAGGACTACATCCGCAACGAGCTCAAGAAGGCGGGCGGAGCCAACTACGATGCCCAGGCGGAGTAGAGTGAAGGGTGCCAGGGCAGGGCAGGGTTTGGGTTAGGGTTTGGGTTAGGGTTAGGGTTTGGGTTAGGGTTTGGGTTAGGGTAAGGCAGGGCATGGCAGGTAGAGGAAGCTGCTCACCTAAAGTGGGGGGTCTGTTTGGACCAGAGGGGTTCAGGGGTGGAACTAGAAGCCCCCTTTCCCAAAGCACATTGAAGACCATCTAGCCTTGCTGGCCTGTGCGTAATGTCACACCGTTTAACCGTAGGATTAAAACTAGGCCAGGAGTATCTTTTAGTGACCTCTGGTTCCTGATTGGAACCCCCCCCCCCATTTTAAACACTCAAAACTGTGAAGCTGCTCCCCTTATCAGTGGAGTAAGTACTGGTCCCCCTGTCATACACTGTTACCCCTCTGCCCCTCAGGTCCATCTGCAGATTCTCTGTTCACTGCCTCAGTCGCCCCCCAAAGAAGGTGTGGTTTAACCCTTCTTTCCATTTCACCCACACCTGCACGCCCCAGCTCTCGGGGCCGGCCGACTGTCTCTTACTCCACTCCTGAGGCAGTCTGACTGTAGTTTAGCTTTTATTTCATTCATTTTGGTCTAGAATATGAAGAACCGTTTGCATTTTTCTTGGTCCCTATGAGAGTGCATTTTTTTTAGGAACTAAAAACTAGCGAGAGATGACTATAATAACAGCACCATTTGTCACAGATCAGTCATTTCAGAATAAATTTCATTTTTCAAAAGTTTGTGTCTGGGAATTTGTTTCTTTGTGTCTGGGAATTTGAGTCTGGCTTGTATGCATTTATGGATCATTAGTCGCTCTTTACAGCACTGCATTGAAACCAGTCATCTGAACTGCGAAGGGGTTAGGATCAAATGGGAATGTGGATGCACCTAGAATCACTGGTGTCCCTGGAAGAAAGGGCCGAGGTCACATCTCCATTCTGAACACACAATGTCTGTTGTAAGTTCCACTGTTTCCATGGTTACCACAACCAGCCTTCTTCGGCCGCCGCCTTGAGCAGCACTGGTCTCAAGCCTGTCAATAATGGCCCCTGCCCATGTGATCTCCACTGCTTCATTACTTAATCTGTAATCTGCTTACCGTCTGCCTCGTTTAAGTTTTCTTAGTAGGACAATGAGATGGTGGTAACTGCGCGTTCGTTGGCGTGTAGTTTAAAAATGGAGACTTGTTCTTTTGTGAGTCGCGCAGGTCTGCATGTAGATGAAGGGAAGCCATTGTCAACAGGAGCTTTTGAAATCAGCTGCGTAATGAACAAGGAAGCTGGTAGGTTATGCGAAGCAGCCGAAAGTGTCTGTTTAGATGGCTAGATCTGGTGTTAAACAGACTTTGTGGAACACTCCCGAAGGGTTTGGCTGCGGTCTGTTTCTGTGTTGCGTTTAGGGATAAATGCGAGAAGGCCGTGGTACTCAAAGACAGGGGGTCCTTCCTCTTTCTGCAGAAGAGGTCCCACGAACCGACCTCAGAGGCCGATTAGGAGCGTAATAACGATGGCGGATGATGCGCAGATGGACACAGAGTCTCTGACTGTGTCCTTTGAAGTGGAGCATCTCAGAAGAGAGGAGGGAAGCCTGGAGAGAAGGAGCCCCCCCACTTTGGGGTTAGCGATGCGAAGCTTACGCAGCACCGCATACGGCAATAAGGACCTTCTACAAACCGCCCAGTCAGTCACACTTGTGGATCTCCTGCTTTCAGCTAAACCAGATGTGGCAGAAAATAGTTTAAATAGCAGGTGAACTCAGGATATGAGCTTCTGTCAGGATATGAGTGTTAGATCCTTGCAGGATGCTGATCTGCACGCTGACATTACACTCCTTCACTGACTCCCTCACTGACTCCTTATGTGATTCTACAGATTTTCAGTAGCACCAGTCAACCCATTAGGTGACGCAGGCGGCCGCCCAGGGTGTCATCCTCGGGGGGGGGGGGGCAGCTTGCCTAGGGCACCACGTGGGATTCGGCTGTGTAGTGTGAGGAGTCAATATTTGGCGCTGAAAGTGAAATAAATTTGATTTTTTTAATGGGTGTGTTTGAGGGGGTTGAGTGGAGCCTGTTTGGGGAGATTTTCTGATTTTTGTTTTTTATGGTGGGGGACTTAAGACGGGCCAAAATTCATGTTGTGGGGCCAACCTCGTAATTAGCCAATGATACGTTTTGAATCAGTGAGTGACAGGGGAGGGGGCACTCTGGGGGCCAATCAGCTTTCAGCTGGGGTCAGTGCCCCTGTGGCCCCGCCCCTGGGAGCTGTAAGGTACAGGTGGAAGATGGAGGACGCCGAAGGGGGTTGAGAAGGACCTGGGTGGGTCAGGAGCAGAGGTGAGATGGTGGATGGACGACTTTGGGGGGATAGAAGCAGCGGTGGGGGGAAGGGAGAAAATGGGGTGAGTGAGCCGGGGGCCCCTCCAGCGAGAGTGAATGGCACAGTGAATGGGCGGCCTGCCCCTCAATGCCTCTGTGTGCCCCTTTAGAACTGGCACAGAACTGCCATTGTTGCGGGGTGATGAGCTGCTCTCCATGCAGGACCACAGAAATGCCCCCACATCCATCCAGGCAGGCATGGGCGTCGCTGCCATTAAATCTGAGAGTGACGTGTCCCCCTCACATTTCATAATTATTCGTTTGGACCCACCCCATATTTGACATAAAATATTAGTTTTATGCCTTTCCCCCCCCCCCCCCCCACACACATTAAACATAAAATATTAGTTCACCCAGTGCTGTTTCTATTGCTCGCGAAAGAATCCATTCCACTTGATGGATATGAGAATACACATACCACTGAAAGACCAGTCCGGGTTTTCCAGGCTACCTACAACAACTCACCACACGCAAGTGAAGTGAATCGTCAGTGCAGCCCATAGACAGTAAAGGTGCAGGCTGCTCGATACAGGAGGAGGTAACGTCAGTCCCACTGCCATCTCACAATGTCCAACTTTTGCTAAAACCTTATTCTTTAGTTATATGCCCTCAAAATTAACCCTAGGCCACGTTAAATTAACAATAAAGTATTAGGAGTAGCCTAACCTTTGCCTTATTTACTTTAAGTAACAGTAGAGTATTCTTGGTTGATGTTCAATTGTTTGCAATACTTGCTCCCTCCCCAGACACAATGGACATAAGGAAATTCTTGACAAAGAAGCGGAAAGTAAGTCAAAATTTCTCCACAGGACAGGGTTTTTTTTTCCCAGTGGAAATGTTAGTGCAGTTAGCTGGCTAGTCAATGTTAGGAGATGTATCAGCTATCTTAATGTTAGCTATCATTACATCCAAACCCAGTAGCAACAGCTATCTTAATGTTAGCTATCATTACATCCAAACCCAGTAGCAACAGCTATCTTAATGTTAGCTATCATTACATCCAAACCCAGTAGCATACCATATTGTAATGCCAAGAATGAGGCCAAGTCCGCTCTGATGATATTTATTGATTCCCTTACTTGAAATTGCATACAGTGAGTAACCAGAATACTTCTGTAGCCTGATTTAGGCTACTAGTATAACCTATTTGTAATACTAATCTGTAAATGTTATACTAATCTGTAAATGTTACTGCATGTAGGTTGATAAAACTGCACTTGCTCATTGTGTGAAGGTATTTTTTATGTGTCATTGCTTGACACAGTGTAATTTTGTGTTATGATGGCTGCATGATGACGTAATTTTTGTTATATCACTAAATCGGAAAAAAAGTAAAATGCACCCACTGAAGTCACTGTTGGTGGTTAACAAAATTGCACCTGTTCATCGTGTGAAGTTCTTTATGTGTCACAGTTGCTTGACACAGTGTGATTTCGTGTTATGAAGGCTGCATGATGCCGTGTCATGCCTGTTCATTGTGTGAAATTATGAATTTTAAACATACAGTGGAGGGTCACTATTGCTCAGCACTGTGGCATGTTGTGTTACATCTAAAACTAAATAAAAAAGAATACACAAAATAAAAAGTAAAATGCACCCATGAACTCATTGTTGGTGATAAATTGTCTCACATTCATTTCATTACCTTAGGCATAGCAGTGGGTAGCAGTTAAAACAGGCTGGTGAATATGGTCTAATTGAATGAGGACTTATTGTTGAGTCTCTAAAACAGTCATTGAATTAAGTGACTTTTGTAGGTAAAATTAGGTGTTTAACAACCTGTTAAAAATACACCAGAATGCAGGAAATGGCATCTAATTCATAAAAAAATTTCTGGGGGAGGGTCCCCAGACCCCCCGCTAGTGTGCTCCCCCCCACATTCAAAATGCTTCTGACGTCCCTGCATCCAGGGCCCCCATCTGTCTATCTCTCTGTATCGGTCTCTGTCCATCCGTGTGCTGACGGTGCGCTCAGTCGATCCCATTACCAGTACAGCTGCCAAACCCCTTGGAGACTGACTTTAATTCAGGACATTCGTTTGGCGAAAACGCATGAAAACTTATTGGAAATTAAATGGAAAAATGCCAACATTTAACCCTTAAAATTGGCAGAAAAATTGAAGCATCTCAGTGGCTAATGGTCAAATTTTTGCAGTGCGTTGCAAACATTAAGATTAAAAAAAAATAATGACTTCTGATGTCTTTCTATCTTTGTGAGGTCATTGGGCGACTCCATCCTGGATTCTACATGAGCTCATGTTTGGTCACTGAGTGCCAATGCTGCGCCTGTACCAGATTACAGGATGTGTAATGACGGCCCATGCATTTGCTTCCAGTATTCAGTTACGGCTTTGTGATGCTCTACATCACCCTCACAGTTACATCATTTCTGACTCATCTGGGTGGAGGGGGGGACGGTTGCACTGGGCCAGGGTCACACAGAGTCCATAAGCATTTTTGATTCATGCTTTGTTATTCTGAGGAAGTTTCTGTGTTTTGTGAATTCAATCCCACTTCACTTATTGTGTACGTAAGCATTCTTATCAATATTTCTGTGGTTCATTGCTCATTTCCTGTGCTGTTGGTAAGTAAATATGAGTAGTTGTGTTATGTACAGCATGTCCACCAGTATGATCTACAGGAATGGGGCAAACTCCTCATAACAGCAGCCAAGATGGCTGCTTTCTTCATATACAACAGGCTTCATGGTGCAGGACCTGTTGGATGGAGCATGTATCTTATCTGCAGGTTCCGGAAAGGTCTCATAGCTTATTTATCACCCAGGATGCCAGGATTCCACAGGACACTGGAGTAAAGAACCGCTGTGGTTAGTGTGGACCATCTGCAACCATGGATGGGTGAGGTGCTGCTGGTGGAGTTTCAAACCCAACGGGCAGCTGGCTTCTCGACACTCCAAATAACGGTGACACTCGTGATTTTGCGTATTTGTTGAAGCACAGGCGGAGTGGCTATGAGTACAGATGAAACATCGTCCAGGTGTTTCACAGTGGTGGAAAAAACTAGCTGCCACACTTCCTGCTCTAATGGTCACAGACCAAGTGAGAAAAAGCAGGAGGAATCTGACTGTTGGTAGGGCGGCAAACTCAATAGGCCTGTTGATGGAAGAAGAACCTTTATCGGTTAACAGTACTTTTATCTATAAAACCTTTGTGAGGTTTAAAGATTGCACTCTTATTAATGCATTCAGTTATTTTATACCATCTCTCAATTGCAGACCTTGGAATTATGTTTTCTCTCTGTTTCTGTCTCTCTGGGCAATTTAAGTACTATAATCATAAGATTTCCAATAGCCCAGTAATATTTGATTTATTGAGATGATTGCTCGAGTCATTTGTGTTCCACCTGTGCAGTGAATGTTGGAGTTTTTCATTCCGTCCTGGGCCAGTAATCAGCCTTTGCGGAAGTCGCTGTACATTGAAATAATCATTAATTGTACATGTTGGAGCAAAGAATCCTGCCACCCACCCAGGGTAGATTAACTCCTCTGGGGGCCCTAAGCTGACATGGCTAAGAGGCCCCTCGGTCTGGGGGGGTGTTGTTGGTAAAATCTGCCAATCAGGCGGATCAGTTGGCCGGATTTAATATGTTTAATCGTTCCATTTTTCATGAGGTGGGGCAGGTCCCTGATGTTTTCTGGAACCCTAGATTATAGCCTGGGATACCCCATGCATTGATCCACCCCTGTCCGCTGCTGTGTTACTGGAAAGGTAGCAAAAGTGAATGACGTTCTACAGCGACCAAAAACCAGACATACACGTTATTGGCCCATTTTTAGCTTTATCGTGCGCCTGTGCTATTCCTGTGCTATTCCTGTGCTTTCAGCACATTCCAGTTTCTCTTCTGGTTCTTAATGCTCCCAGCTAAAATTAGACACATTTGCATTCTACAAATACTGCACTTTTTTATACGTGCATTACACCACATAACCCTTTACTTAGTAATAACTCAGTTATTATTGAAGTGCAAATCATGAACAGATCATGAACAAATATAGTCCCTAGTCATAACATCAGTATGTCAAATGTGTTATTCATTACTTGTTCCTTCAGTAGTTCACTAAGATTTAGAGAATGAACAGGTTTAGTAAATATAGTAACTGCTTGGGATGAAAAATGCATCGTGATTCATTAATGATGAGCAAACATGAGATCAGTATTTAACTTGTGTTATTCACGAGTTATTCAGTCGTTCACAAAGGGTTACAGAATTGACAGATATAGTAACAAATATAGTAATGCTTGAAATAAAATATGCATCATAATTCATTGATGATAATTGAACAAGATCAGTATGTTTGTGACAGTTTGTGACATACAGTCACAAAAAAAACAAATCATGAGGCAAAGTTCACCGAAGTGAAAGAAAAAGCAGTGGCTGCTTGTATTTGCTGAGGGAAGGTCCTAGTTGGGCTCCTCTATGAAATTATACACCTTGACTGAGCAACTGGTTTAAACTGTTTATACCATCCATCCATCCCTTTGTCCAACTTCCAGTCTACACAAGGCAGGGGAATAGAGGACACCAATCTGTTTTACCACACTAAAATAACAGAGATCAAGAAAAAGATACTTGTCTTACAGTCTATAAAGACATGTATTGTCCTGGGGTTTATAATTATTATTTGCTTGTATTTTCACTTAGCTAATTATTTCACCACGGCAGGCCACATACCATGGTGTCGATTAGTGGCAAAACAAGAACGCCACTTTGCCGTATTTACGATGGTAACTCTGTTAATTTTAGGAACCAAATCCGCTGATGAAAAAGGAGTTAGCCACATGAAAGAGAAAGAAAAGACAAAACCAACAAAACGTAACGTTATAACTTGTGGAATGACAGCAAATATCCGTTTCATAGTACACAGGCAATTAAGCGTACATGTAATTTTTTTGTATTGGTTATCTATTTTTATTTTACTGCAGCATAATTTTACGAAGATCTTTTTTTTGTGATTTTCTGTGCTTTTTTGTCATTCGTTTGTCCGTCTCGATCTTATCAAAGTTACACAGTGGCTCGTGTGCAGTTTGTGTAAATGTTCCCATCGTTTAATATGGGCAATACATTTGTGCTTACAATGTATCAGAGAAGTTTAATTCCTCTCTGGGTTAATTTAGTTCCTTTATGCATATAGCATAAAATACATGCATAAGGTGTTACTCCACCTGCTGAGTTGAAAATACCGGTGGGCCTGCAGGGGTAATTAGGCAGTAATTTATGTACACCAACCGAGTTGATAACCCACCCATCTTACTCTCATGCCCTTAAAAGGCGCTTTTCGACGCTTGCCACTTCCAGCACTGTCTCACCCCTGTATCCAGTCGCACTGCGCCCTCCCCTGGCCATTAAATGTATAAGCACTGACGGAAATGAATGAATGGGCTTTGCTTTAACGAATAAAAAGATGAATGTGTGACGTATGAAATGGAGCGCAATCATTAATTCTAAAAAAAAAATATTTTTGTTGGTTTCTGTTTTATTTCACACTGTAATGCACGTCGTTTTCATGAGCATTTTGTCAAAGACATTGGGAAAAGCCATATAATCGCATTATCTGCAGAAACACAATTTAATGAATTTTATGTCCATACTCGCCACACTCCTCCCAAATTTTCACAAAAATGTGTGCGTATATCCATCTGTTTGAGAAGCCGTTCTGCTTGTATCATTGAACGAAGCATTGCTGACTTAGGTACTGCCCAATATCAATGTGCTATTTGTTAAATTACATGCCTTAAAATTTTGTGACCTATAGCTGATCTAAATACTACACGAATAAAGTATTAAGCACAAACTAACTTACTTCCAAACTGTATTCAGAGCTTGTTAGAAATTAGAGAGCGAGTACGAACTCAAGGAAAGAAGTATGTTTAAAAAAACAAGAGTAAGGACACAAAAAATTGCATTTCTGTGAAAGGGCTACACTTGTGTAATAGTTGTGACAAGGAATTAAGAAAGTGTAGTGCATTCTACAAATTAAAAAATGTTTAAAAATAAGATGGTGAACAATATATAAAACTAAACAGTATTATTTGTCAAATTTTTGAAACTTTTGTTTTTGCTTTTTTTGTTTTTGACCTGTTATTTAAAATGATAAAAAGCGGTAGGCAGAATAACATATAGCTGTAGCCTACACCTTTTCGGTCAAAATGTATGTATATATATGTATGTGACATGTAGGCCTATGCATGTACAGTATGTGACCGAAACAGAAAATTCAAAAATTCAAATTCAACTACTAACTACACTCTTAAAATACTCAAAAGCAGCACAAGTACGATATGCAATAATCGCCAATGAACTCGTCCCAGATTAGTTCTGCTCACTGATTGGACATTGTCTTAGTTAGCAACGCCCCTACGGCCGACTGCCCTCTCTTTCTATTGGTACATTTCATTTTCAATCACCTCGTTTATAGGAAGTAGTCAGTGTTTACAGTGTCTTCTGAAATGTGAAGAAGCGTCTCTCAACAATGAGGTTTGTGGTTCCTTATAATTTATTGGTAAAGAGCTTTACATTTTGAGGGAGCCGGTAATTACAGCTCATTCCTGGAGGGTTATGTCAGTTCTATTTATCAGCAACAGAATAACACTTAAGGCTGACATAAGATTATGTGCCATGAAGCATTAGCTGTATTGTAAGTCGGTTTTTAGCTGTATAAGTGCTGTTCGTTCGGAGTGATGGGGAACGCCGAGAGCGTCGTGGCGCAGAAACGACTGGCCCGGTTTCGCCCAGATGAACGGCCTGTCATTGAGAAAGTGTTTGATCGCCTGCAAGAGGCTGGGAGCGCTAGGAAGGTTCTAACGCTGGACGCGCTGAAGGTGAGACAACTTCTCCCGGACCACACGGAATGTGAATGAATTAACAGATTATTTTTTTGCGCTAATTAGTTTGGTATATATTACTTTAACCACGACTGTGTACTGGATAAACAGTATGATGGATGGATGGATATATTAATTAATTGCTTAATCGGGCCACTCCATTCAAGGAGCTATTTAACCGTTTAAATTTCACAAAGTTAATTTTCACCCGTGTTTTGCAGTGCTCCTGTATACCGTTGTGTGTATGTTGTATGTCACCTGATGACTCCCCCTCCGTCGCACACCTGTCCCATAGCTGAGCGTTAGGGACGCGGCTCCGACCTCCATGACCGCGCGGCTCTTTCAGAGCATGCGCAGCGCAGACACGGCCGTGCCAGCGGCGGACAGCGGCGGAGTCACCCGAGAGCAGATGCTCGTGTTCCTCGCGGACGTACTGCGTGGCACGGCGGAAGAGCGCGCGCCACTTGTCGTGGCAATGGCCGGTGTGTCAGAGGGGAGCGTGGTCACGGTCACCCAGATCAGAGAGGTTTGTGCATTTCTAAAGTGATACATATGAGAATTGACAGTTTAAACCTCATTTTATGCTTTCATTGATGAATCTTATACTGTATAGTGTAAAAATATCGCACGTTTTCTATACAATGACAATATACTGAATATTTCTAGATAATCACGTGGTAGTTTTGTAGGATGGTTGCATGTCATGTCCATGTTGTCTTCTTACAGTTTTTGGAGGACCTGATCTCAGCAGTGGTGCAGTGTTTGATCCACAGTGGGCAGTTGCAGGGCTGGAAACCAGACCGCATGCAGGACAGTGATCGCGGAGTGAAACTACTGGCTGAGCAGTTATGTTCAGAGCTGAAATGCACAGGTTAGGAGGGCAGAGAGAGGGACATGGGGGGAGTGGGTACAAGAGAGGCCTGGAACACACGAGGGGCACTTAGTCCTGAAATGATGACGTCCTGCTTTCAGGAATTTTATGGACAGACATAAAAATCCTCCTTTGTGCTGAATAAGTATCTTTTTCACAGCAGAATTTATTGCACAACAGATGCCTCAATACTCATGTCATGTATGCATGCAGAGAGTTTTACAAACTGCATCTGATTGGTGACTGTTTTTGTAGTGAGCAAGAATGAAGGTTTTTATTAACCGTACATTTGATCTGCTAGGAAATGAGCTGCAAGTTCTAACAGAATAGACTCTCAGTATCTGCCAGCTGAACTTTATAAGGTCACTAGGAGCACAAGGTGTAAGTTTAGAATCAGAATCAGAATTATTACTTTTACATGCAGTACTGTGTAAAAGTCTTAGGCAGTCAAAAGAAATATTTAAAGCTATTTATCTGGGTAGTAAAAGCACATTTGCTCAGAACAAAAAAAAAAAAACAATTTAACATTAGAACTTATGAACATTAAGAGTAACTTGATAAAAACTAGTAAAAAAAAAAAATTCTGTTCTCCAAGAAGTTACTGATATCTTCTTGATGGCTAGATGAACGCCGCTTCAGTTCCAAAACCTCTCCTTAGGGGCACCCCTGCCATTCCATGTATTCACTAATTTCACCACCAGCTCACTTAATTAACTCAAGTAGTTAAAAAGTGAGTCAGATATTGGTTAGCTATACGAGGTGGTAGTAGTCAAGTTAGAAAATACATGGGTGTATTGTGTGGTTGCTGCAAATACGGGGGTGATTTTAGGTGAGGTTTAGAAACAGCTCAGCTGACACACTTTGACAGGCATAATATCATGGTTTTACACCAACATAAAGATCATTTTAAATATCATTTTCTTTGGCGAGGACAATCAAGAAAATCCGTATAATAAATATATACATAAAATGAAATGATGCCGCTCGCACAGATAATGTGCGGAGTGGAGCGGCATGTTTGTTAACTGGGCAGTTAGTATTTTACGTAGCATTTTTATTTGACGGGATATGTGCAGTCTGTGTTGAGTTGGCGCTCAGTCCTGGGTTATTCCCCGCCTTGCACTTGTAGCTTCCGGGATAGGCTCCGGACCCCTGCGACCCTACGTAGGAAAAGCGGGTATGAAAGATGGATGGATGGAATTGGTCTCAGTTTTGTTTTGTCGCCCATTGATTTAACCTGAATATTCTGCATGAGAACATGTCCCCTCTGCCTCAGACCAGCAGGTCTGCGACATCCCTTGCCTGGAGAACTGGCTTTTTCGGACGTCTGTGCCTCTGTACCTGGAGTTCCTCAGCATGGAGGCCCTTGGCATCTGCCTGCCATCCCGGCCACCCCTTGTCCTCCTGCCACCGTGCCAGGACGTGCCGTGGCGTGAACTGCGCTCCATCCTGGACCTGCCGCTTCTGCTCTTCCTGGCGCCGCAACTCCCCGACACCAAGGGCGCCCCCTGGAGGCTGCTGTTCTCCTCGCGGCTGCACGGCGAGAGCTTTACCCGCCTGCTACGCGGCTGCACCTGCCAAGGGCCAAGTGTGCTGCTGATCCGAGACACTGATGGGTACACCTTCGGGGGATTCGCCTCTCAGAGCTGGGACACCAGGCCGCAGTTCCAGGGTGAGGGTCTGAGGCCGGGCCTGGGGGGGCAGGGGGCCCTGTTTTATGGGGGCAGGGTCCCGCCAGGTGGGTCATTTAGCAGTCTGATGGATACAGATCACTGTAAGATCACTGAGAAAAGTGAAGTGCATTTTAAGGGTTCAGATTCAAGAAGGTTCATTGTCATGTCACAGGTAACAGTCAGTCTTACAGCACAATGAACACTTCACCATGTATGTCCTTCTGGCTTCAGGTAACCACAAAATAAACAGAAAACAGACACAGCTCTGCATACAGTAAGATAATGAATATGAATAATAATAATAATATGATAATGAATAAATACTTAAATACCATGCAATGTAAACATATGGACATGGAGTCAGTCCTGCTACAATGTGACTAATGTGTTCCTGAAGAACTTTGCGTTCACTAAAATCCATACTAAAATGCACATATCCAACTGGAAAAATAGGGTTAGGGGACTGTAACTCCAAAGCTTAGCAATCTAAGCCAAACAAAATTAATTAAATAAAAAAGTGATACCAGTGGCCAATAACATAATTATATGCATTTTAAATGAGAAATAATTATAATATATTAATAAATTATATCGAACATCCCCTGTGGGTCTTATGAGTCTCACGAGAATTGCCTAGTAACCAGTTCATCTGATCGTGCTGAACTTACTAAATTGTTGATTACAGGGAGCCGGAGCAGCGATGGCCACTACCCCCACTAGAGGGTGCTGTTGGCATGCTTTTAGTACTTAATTTGAACAGAAAGCACTATTTAGCGGGGTTGGAAAATAGAGCTCACGAAGGTCCTTTTAGCCACCATTAGTCGGCAGTAGTGAGCCGCAGCCTCCCTGCGGCCTGGCATGCACACGGCACAAATACAAGGGATTATAGTATGTGGAGGGGCACTGAAGGTGACATGGTTACAGACAGTCTTCGAAAGCAAATGCACGTTAATTTAATTTAAAAAGGCTGTTGTGTTTTATATTATAATTTTTCAAATATTTTTAGATTTTTAATGTGTGGATGTACAAAAAGTTTGATTCTTTTAGACTTGAAAACTGGGTTGACCGATCCACTGAAAAGAACGGGTTCAAAAGAATGATTCATTCACACATCAGACATCACTGTCGTTCACATGGATACATGTGAACACTGTCGTTCACTACATGCATGTAGTTTTTCTCATTATGACCATGTCGTGCTGTATTTCGCGTAGGGCTTTTCTCTCAGACTGAAAATCGCACGAATACAAATGGAATTCTGCGTTATATTGGTACCAAACTCCAATACATCAATCGCGATTTGTGGTGTGATGTCACACGTTGTGCCAGGACTGACTATAAACGAATAGTGCAGCGAGAGGGTTTTAGTGCAACAGACCTAGAACTTCATTGGTTGGAGGTAGATTGTGTCAAGTGATTGAGGGGTAATTATGAGCTAATTAAATAGGAGCATTTTAAGGTTCATTGAAATTATATTTAAAGTAATTTAAGACAGTGGAGATGTTTTCCTACAGTTTCTGACTGATGCATATCCGTATCAGTGGCAATTGTGCTATTTTCTCAAAGCGACAGATTAATATTAAATAAACGAATTGTGCCGGTTAGTAACATGAATTGATAATTATTATCAGGTGTGTTTTATTGATTGATGCTAATGATGCTAATGCTAAAGCTCGCATGTATCTCTGTGGGCTGATGCACGTGGGCTGATCTTGCTTCACCACTGGCTGTTCCTGTGAGCTGCTTGACACGACTTTCTGTGTTAGTGACCGCAGGCTGTGTGCGCACACAGGCGATTCCCGCTGCTTCCTGTTCTCTGTCACCCCTTCCCTGCGTCTGTACACCTGCACCGGATACAACCAGAACTACATGTACCTGAACCACGGTCAGCAGACCATGCCCAACGGCCTGGTGAGTATCCCTCTGCTCTGGGGCTTGAGCTCCATGGCGCCCCCCCAGTCCCACACCCACCCGCAAGAGGCTCCTTGCATTCCCTGTTGTGTAGTCTTCCTCGCCCTCCCCACCACACAGTCTTCCTCACCATCCCTCCTCCACCTTGTTGCCAGGGAATGGGCGGTCAGCACGACTATTTTGGCTTGTGGCTGGACAGTGACTATGGGCAGGGACACAGTCGGGCGCGGCCCCGCTGCACCACCTATGGCAGCCCCCAGCTCTCTGGCCAGGAGAACTTCACCCTGGATGCCCTGGAGGTCTGGGGCGTGGGGGAACCCCCAGAGAACCAGCAGGTTAGCGTCATATCCCATCCTGCTGCCGTCGGTCTCCTGAGCAAGGCCCATAAGCCTCTGAAAAACTCTCTAGGGGCACCAGATTTAATTTTTCATTGGTCTGTCCCTCCTGATGTGTATCCCAGACCCAGGTGAAGCGCAGCATCCTGGATGCTGACCCAGAGGCCCAGATCATGATGGAGATGGCTGGGAAGACCCGGCACAGCCAAGGCCTGAGAGAGCCAGAAGAGGGCGAGCAGGACTGAGAGAGAGTGACGGAGCGCGAGCGAAAGAGGCGGCAGGAGAGGCGGCTACATGGCAGAGCGACTCAGAGTGCTGAGGGCGCAGACGGCTGAGGGCGCAGGCGGCTAACGTCACTCTCTGAAGGCAGCTCGTGTGGCTCCGAAGATCCAGCACTTAAAAACAATCATTAGTTAATAATGACTGTAATAATCATAATTTATTTTAAAATAGTCTGAGCTGCTTCATAGTGTTTGAATAGTGGGGTTTGACTGAAGTGGCTGCGTCAGTGGTGACCCATTTGGAGAGATGGGAAGCCTGTTTCTCCTGCAGTCTCCTCTTATGTGAGGGGGCTGTGACCCTTGGTTCCCCCACGGAGGGAGGGGGAACTCGACAGTAACTGCAGGCAGGCATTCTGAGGTCACGCTTTCCCAGGAGGTGTGACATCATGATAAGCCACAGACTATCTTTAGTATCTTTATCTTTACACAGAGGAGGACAAGCACAGACCTTTTTTAAAGTATGTTCAGGAACCACCTAAAGCTTAAAAAGGGTTTTAGTGTCTATAATGTATATTATAACCATTACACTGGTGTTTGAATTGAGGGGAATTTGCCCAATGAGAGAAAAAATTATGCACCTGGGTGGGTGTCCCTTAAAATTAACATTTTACTGGTTTCAGTACTCCCCCACCCCCTTTGACATATTTCACCGTCACCCCCCTCCCCCCTCAGTCATGCTTGGCCTACCCACCAAGGGACCCCCCNCCCCCCCCCAAGACATCTGACACAATTTAAATGCTGCATTATATGGTGTAATCTATGTCCTGCATTGTGGTAAAGTTTGGAAACTTCTCTTTTTTGTATTATGTCTTGCTTTCCTATTGATCACCATTTAATTTTTATGTCATTAACTTTACCCCTTTGTGGACAGTTCGCTGTTATGGCTGAGCTTTGAGCGGCGACGGGGGACGCCACACCACAGCATTGTGTGAGCTTCCACAAACACACGCGGCACTGTGTACCTCGCAGAAAGATTTACATGTGGTTTATGTTTCTGGATGGAAACTTCTCTCTGGAAACAGAACACGGCTGCTGGAATGTTCTTAAATTTACAGTGCTGTGCAGAAGTCTTAGGCAGCCAAAGAAAATGATGTTTAAATGATCTTCATGTTTAGTGGAAAACTATGCTGCCTGTCAAAGTGAGTCAGCTGAGTCATTTCAGAACTTCTGCTAAAATCACCCTGGTAATCGCCATGTATTTTTTTGACTCGAGCACTAGCACACCTTGTATTGCTAATCAATATCTCATTTACTTTGTATAACTAATTTGGTTAAGTGAGCTGGTGGTGAAATTTAATAAATACATGGAATGTCTGAAGTGCTCCTGAGGACAGGTTTGGGAACTGAAGCCGTGTTTAACTAGACATCCAACTAGATATTAGTAACTTTTTGGAGAACAGAGGAAATACGTGTTTTTATTGTGTTACTCCTAATTTGCATTTATTCAAAATTGTGATCTGTGTTCTGAGCAAATATACCCTTTCTACACAGATAAATAGGTTTAAACATTTCTTTTGACTGCCTAAGACTTGCACAGCACTGTAAGGACATCATGTCTCTACTCTGGGTGTTTGTTCTTTTTCTTAATGTTCTTTATATCTCACAACTTAATTTTTGTTCCTGTTAAATACCTTGTTCAAAGGTAGACATTTGTCTAGTAGTGAAATACCTGAAATGATTCTTTTAAGAAAATAACTTTTGGCTCTTGATTTTTTTAAAAATTATTATAATGGAAACACTTGACCTACGGAAGACGATTAGGGCCACCATGAAAATATTATTTGAATTCTGACTTTAATCTCAGAATTCTGACTTTAATCTCAGAAGTCTGAATTTAGAAATTCTGACTTTTTTTTCTAAACTCAGAATTCTGAGAAAAAAGTCAGAATTCTGAGGAAAAAAGTCAGAATTCTGACAGTAAAGTCAGAATTCAAATAATATTTTCATGGTGGCCCTAATCCTCTTCCGTACTTGACAGATGTTCTAATCCAGGGAAATGTATTAAGCCTGTTTGAATTTTCTTACACCCGATGGTGTGTGTATGGAGTTTAGTGTTCCAATAGTGTACGTTATAGAAACGTTACACAGGTTTCCTGCTGCAGTCTAAAAATATAGTTTGTTTGGTGTTTTCCAGTTGCCCATAATCTATGTCTATGCACGTGTGTGTGCGCCCTGTGATGGACTGGCAGCCCGTCCAGGGATTACCGATCGGTTCTAGGTCCTCAGGCTGGATAAGCATTCAAAGGATGCATGGGGGTGATTATGTAGTGACAGTGGGAGGCTGGGTGGCTGGAGGTGTGGCTCATTTGCAATGTAAATACACACATCATATGTCCTAGTGGTGGCAGGACTGGCAGGTATGGTTAAGTCTCTTCAGTTGTATCAGTTACCCAAAAGTTTGCTGTTAGACGTCACCAATGTGACCTGTTTTCAGAGCCGTGGGTTTTTCAGGTTTTAGCCCAGGTTCTGGTTGGGGCCTTCCTGAAGTGGGAACGATCACACCACTGCCTTTTTTGTGTTAACCTGCCATTTTAATGGTCCCAGAGGGACACATCTGCCCGACCAGCTATGAGACAAGTGAAGCAACAAACTGAATCTTGTAGCAGCCGCTGGATAGTGTGTGTAGCTTACTAAAAGTTAGACCTCGTTTAATACTGACCTAGTCTTGCGGTTTCTGCATGGTGTAGCCATTGAAAACCACTGGCTTCTGCAGGTGACACTGGGCTAGAGTAACCTTACCAGTGTTGGCCTAGAAAATTTGCTAGTGTATTTTAACACTCGACAATGACGGGTTGTGGTATTTGGAAACTCTTGGCCAGCAGCAGTGGAAGACTGGTGCCTCAAAGTGCTGGTTGTCATAAAAACAGGTGGGCAGTCCAGATTAGGACTGAAGGGATGCTTATAGGTGCCTGTGAATACCATGCTCAAACTCTCTCTTACCAAACCTGTTTAGCTGTATGCACCCAACATTGTGTCTCACCCAAATGCTAAATAAGCTATTCCAGGTGCATAATAACGTTCACTTTATTTGTGCGAAATGTGTGAGCCAAGGTCTTTCAATGCAAGACTTAAGGTGGTATCCAGGGTAGACAGTATGCCTACAAGATCAATAAATCACATTTTGTTTTAAGCACAACACGGTCAACTTGAGTCTTTGATTTTGCATAATACCCTGTGTGTTCCTGCCTTGCGTTTACCTGCATTCACTGTGTACTGTACGTTGTTCCTTAGTAGACCTGCAGGAGGCGCACTCAGCGAAGGATTCGTGCTTCTTTGTAGAGAAGCAATGTGGTCCTAAGATGCTCAAATGTGACCAATTAGTGCGCATGTGCTTTAGTGCTCTGTTGTTAATTGTATATGCGCATGTGGTATCAATGCATACTCCCTCTCCCTTTATGTGTCGCATATAAATGGCCGCAAGGGCTAGAAGTATCTAGAACACAGAAAGTTAGCCCAGCACGAGCTGCCATTAAAAGTTATTGTTTACGCATCCAGATATCCGCATGCAGAGACATGCACACTCATCTCTATTTTTGTCTTTGCAGGCAACTCCCGCCAACTCGTTTTAATACCCCGAACAATCACCAACCACAAACCAGCAAAACTAAATTAGAGATTAAAATAGTTTCGGAAGCTCTTTTGTTTTTACTTTTAATGCAGAGTATGCGCTGTAAATGTGTCTGGTAGAATATGCTCAAAATGTTTTTTTATAATAAAACAAATACTGTCTCGTTATTCTTTGTTTCAGTTGCTTGAGGAAGCAGATCTGCTTCAGTGAACAGAAAAAGCCCCCCACCTTCCTGTCACAGCCCTTGTATCTGTTTGCTCACGAATGTCTCACCTTCCCATTTTTCTCTGTCGCTTTGCTATCAGGCGCAATCGGAACGGCTCCTCTCTCCCTGCTCCTGCTGTGCCTCGCAGCTCTCACTCTATCCCCATCCACCAATCCTATCGCCGCCTTTTATTTCATTTGTTAGGTTATTGTCAAAATTCGGGTTCTCCGCCCCTACGATAAACCTCATATTTCATACACGCGATCTATTAGGCTATCTATTATACTTCCCATAATTCCTGAGCCTCCCGGGGTTTCCGGCTCACTGCCTCTCGTTTTTGTGTCAGCAGTATGTAAGAATGATGGATGGACTTCACAATTAAGCTCTGTGCTGTTATGACGTGCGATGTACAATTATGCATAATGTTTGCACACTGTTTACTCACCCTAGAGTTAAACATTATAACTTATAACAGGCTAACTTTTTATTTTTTAATGAACAAGGCATTTAATTGAGATGAGTAATGCATGCTCTGCATAAATCTTTTAAGGTATGAGCACAGTTGCGATAAATGCAGTAATTATATATATATATATATATATATAACATAAAACATATATAAACTTTTAATTGTGTGTGGAGGGCAGTATGGTGGTTAGCGCTGTCACCTCCCACCTCCAGGACCAGCGTTCCAGTCTCCGCTAGGCTTCAGTGTGTGAAATTTGCATGTTCTTCCTGTGTTGTCATTGGGTTTCCTCCAGTTAGTCTGGCTTCCCCCCCCTCCCCCCCATCTCTAAAAACATTACAAAATTGCCCCTAGGTGTGAATGGAGTGTGATACAACCTTCCTGGGTTGTATCTTGCATCTGTAGCCACCAGGATAGGCTCTGGACCCCCACAACCTTGAATAGGATAAGTGGTCTCAGTAAGTCAATGGATAATGATATATGTATATGTAATTATTATATACCATATATATATATATATTTTACTTACTTACTTAACCAGGGGGTTGAATATGTGTAGAGGGTGATTTTTTTCTTCTTCTCGTGGTCAATGAAGCACATCCACTTCCCCAACCAACAGAAAACGAAGAACATGAAAAAAAACATCATTATGAAGACGCAAAATGTCCTGTATTCTGTGTTCTCCACCAAGCTTCTCAATGCCGTCTTCATTGTTGTAATGACCGAGTCTGTCCACCTTTTGCTGATCATTATCTTCTTTTACTTTCAAATTTGGTCTTTTCCAGTGTTCTGGGTCTTCTCATTATATACCCAAGAATATAATTATATTCCCAATAATCACCCAGCACGTTCATGCTTGATTTGATCAATAATCATCCTTGTTTGTTTTCCAGGCGGTGCACAGATTTCTTAAAAGTCTTCACCAGCGCCAAAGTTCAAAGGCATCAGCGCACTTCCTGTCCCGCCTCTTCATTGCCCAGCTTTCACATCCACGAAGCGTCACAGAAAACACCATATTCTAAGCAAATTCTCAATACTGCTTCTTGGCTCTCGTTTCTACTACCAATCTTGAATCTACAGTCGTCTTATTCCAGCATCTCTCAACCTACTTTCTGTGTACAAGCTGAATAGGTATGCTGACAGTATGCATCCTTGACTAAGTTCACCAACCAACCATAACCCATCCTGACTGTGGCTTCTTGTCGATTGTAGAGGCTCATCAAAAGGACAATGAGATGCTCTGTTACACCCATTTCCCAGACAACATAGCATAGTTTGACATGTTTGACACAATCAAAGGCTTGCTTATTATCAACAAAGCACGTGGATCTCTGTTTGCATTTCAATTTCTTCAGTTACCATGAGGAGGCTTTTTTTGTTTGAACGTCCCTAAATCCAACTTGTACCTCAGGCAATCCTCTTTCCCTATAGGCCTCTCATCTGCATTGAATAATCTTGCTGGCATGTGATTTGAGGGAAATCGTTTGGTAATTAATCTACACTGTTGGATCTCCTTTCTTTGGTAGTTTATACATAATTCTTGTCTATATTATCTCTGTTTGCCTTTGGCTATCACTGTTCACTTGCTACTATATTATCAATACCATTTTTCTTCCATTGTCTGAAGAAGAGCCTTAGATTCATGGATGGTTATGATTGGATGAGACTTGACCACAGTACTCCTGTGTACCTGGGGAAGCTGGAAATTCTGGCAAGTACTTTTAGTGAAGCATGCTTCAGTTAAGAATAAATAAAACCAGGCTGACATTTCTCCCAGCTGCAGTGCTATCTGATGCCATTTTGCTGTCAGCAAAGCCAGCGTGTGTGGAGGTGGGGCGAGGTTGGTTGCCGTCAACGTCAGCGCTGGCTCGAACAGGAGGGGCCGCGTCTGCGGTTCCAGGAAGCCCGGACACTAGGAGGCAGGGAAACCCAAGCGTGGGGCACCAAGCTCCTCTCACAGGCTGGAGAGCACCTAAGCAGGAAAAGTGCATGCAAAAGATGACACTTCTCCCACATTTTAGCACATGAGCATGCAAGTATTTTTTATTCCAAAAATACACAGTGTTTAGTGACCATGTGAGAGTGGTTTCAGGGCATTAGGAAGTTATTACTCAGTGACAGGAAACTGGCCCTTTTTAGATTGTAATGTCCGAAGAGGCTGTAAAAAACAACCTGATACTGATAGCTTTGGCACAAATTTATTAGGCTTTGCTATAGTCTAATATCCATGCAAAGGAGGGAGAAACCCCAAGGGAATGAGAGCCCAAAAATAACCATAGACGCAGCAGCACTGTACCCTACAGTGTGAAACACATCTCAATCTTTACATGTCAGTAAACCCCAGACTGCTTCTAAGGTTCAGTGTATTCTGGTCTGGAGGTAGGTGCTGCTTCACTTTCCTCGACCTTTTAAGCTGAAACCAATTGCTCGCTTGGGTTTTCTTAGAAAAATCAAATTACAATGAGGTCTGGTGGCTGAAAGAAAAGGCCGTAATAATCTCTTAGGATAAGCCTAAGCCCCTGAGCTAAATGTAATTACAGTAAAACCCACTTATAACGGACTTCAAGGGACC